AATACATAATGAGAACAGTCACTGTCAATGAAAAAACTGCTTGATTTGGGCTCTTAGCCTACAATTCTGCGTGTGGAAACAGCTGTCATTTCATCAGTGTCATGGCATTAACCTCATCCAGTGGAAGTGGAACTCCTGCTTTCTTTGCTTTGCTTCACACCAGAGAATTGCACTGTTCTTGCCACAGCAGAAGACATCACACAACATGTTAGATACACCTACCCTGCAAACTTGAACTTAGCCCCAGCACCAATTTCTCACACCACTTATTAACTCACTGTCGGGCTCAGTTTTTTTGTTGCTGTCACTATCTGTCTTTAAAACTGCCCCCAGGAAAAGTCCAGATTTCATTTATTGCCAGACTCAACTCAAAAACTCCCGTGGCATAGCCTGGCCCAAGCCTGGATCCCACACAGTCCTCTGTCACCAACCCATCCTCCAAGTGTGGCCTTGGGGCATCTCTCAGGGCAGGAAACAGATTCCCAGGGTGATGCTGTGAAACCACTATTCTGTTATTCCACTTGGAGTACTACAGATAGAGGAAAATCCATCAAAATGTTACATTCATGTTTTAGATCCACAGGGGCTGAAGAGGACTGGGAAGCAAGTGCTGCACAGTTTGGTCATAGCCAGCTTGTGCCACTGCTCCTCTGCTACCCAGCCTGCAGCCATGGGCAGGGAGACTACCTCCTCCTGTGGAGCTGCCAAAAAGCCTTCACTGCTACTAACAGCACTCCTTTCACCTGGAGCAGGCCAGGAAGGAAGTGTCTGGGGGCTCCAGCAGAATGGAGTTCCACTGTGGCACTCTACATTTTATGACCTCCCCAGAAGGGCCAGACTGGCACCAAGCTCATCTGCTCAAACCAAGACACCTCACTGAGCAGATGGATTTATCCTTTGGAAGCAACCCTCTAAAGTAGTCACCCTTTGAAGAGCCAGATTTTATCCTCACACCCCAGTGGGAGGCAGAGGCAGTGCTGGTTTTTGCATGGCACGAGGACAGCAATAAACAAATTCACTTGCATTTGCTCATCTGGGTGTTTTGTGGCTCCACAGCCATCTGCCTCCCCAGAGAATAAGCTCTGTATGAAATGATGATGCCAGTTTTTCTTATCCTGAGATTCAGCAGAACCACCTTCCTGACTGAGCAAATGTGCTGGCATCTTGCAGTGCAGACTTGCTCCTGGAGGAGAGATGTAAGCAGGAAAGAAGCTGGTTTAGATCCAATTTAATTTCCCTAGGGTTATTCTATGTGTTAAGGAGAGCTAGCACACAGAAGGCAGATGCAGATAGAAGGTTAAATTCTGTTCTCATTTGTGAAGGGGTAAATGCACGGTAGTCCTGCTGACAATGGGGCTGTGCTAGAGTGGAAGGAAGACTGCAGGAGACTGACCTGACACAGAAAAGCTAACAGGAGAGTTCTGAAGAGGAAAACCTGCTTCCTACTGGTTCTGTCATATTTTTCTCTTCCAGCCTTTCCCTGGGCCAAATTCTGCTCCAGATCACTGTGTAAAGCACATGCCCCAGAAGTACAAACTGGTCAGAACCCAGAGAACATCTCCCCCTTTCCTCTAGCAGCCACACCAAGCTAGGGGTCAGTTTTTCTCAGAACACCAATAAATCAGAGTCTCCTGTGAGAAAAAATTAGTTGTGGGGAAAGGTTTCCAGAGAAATCCTTCTTTGCCCATAGTGCCCATGCAGGCTGTGCCTTTCCCTCTGGTTTCTCATTTCAGTCCTGTGACTTCTGGCTGCTTCCAGGGCTAATAAGTTCCTGACCTTCCTCCCTGTTGTCACTACCACCACGGAGGCTCCACCCTGAGTCTGTTTTCCAGAGTCATGGAGCATCTGTCTCCCAGAGGAGTCTCCCAGCCCATAGCCCCCCCAGCAGCTCTTCATTTGCTCAAGGACCCAAGTTTGTGTTGATGGTTTGCATTTACACTCCTGTACCTGAGAGCAGAATCTGGCCCATTAAGACCTTGAAGATGTAATTCTGGAGGACAGCTCTCTCTGATTCTTTTCCCTCATCTTTCTTTTCCATTTCTGCACATTTTTTCACACCAGACATTGCAGAGCCGCCTGTGATGGCATCTGTCAGTGCTGAGCAGCAGGGGATGCTTCGGCAGTCTGTCCCCTTGCCCACTGCCATGGTCACACAGGGGGACATCAAGGGGCTGTGCAATAACAGCAGTGGCACACTGCAGGCACAGACATGATCTAACCCATCATGGAATGCAGCCACTTATGGCTTCTTTCCAGTGCTTTCCACCAGTTTGGCTCCCTGTGTGGGCAGGTGTTCGCACGTCAGAAGCTCTTTGCTGTCTTCCTTCTCAAAGAGTGGTGGTTTTCTCTGCTTAGTGGAGGAACAGAGAGGTTGGGCTCCCTGTGAAGCTCTCACAGCTGCTCCTGTGAGAGCTCAGAGGAGCTCCACAGAGACACTCTGTGCTCCAGAATGCTACCCACACACTCCTGTGCTGTGTTTTCTCCAGACATCCTCAGTTTATGTCTTTCCTCACTTCCCTCAGAGTCAATCAAAGTTATCACAATGTGAAGAAGCACTTCTCAAAATACAGATGCTACCTCTGCCCTTTCCTGACTTTGAGGCGTTTTCTTGGGGACCAGTCAATTGCACACCTTTTAAAATGCATTTTCAGCATCTTAAAAACAAAAATATTGCCAGAAAGTTTATCAGTACTTTCTCAGTACCTTGTGATGCATAAGCAGAAGGCTGTGATGCCTAAACTAGGACACAGGCAGCCATGAAGGCTCAAAAAAATATCCTTAAAGGAGACAGAAAGTCCCTTTCTCCACAGCAGCCCAACTCTAACACATCTGTAGGTCCAAGACCCCTCTATTCTTGACACAGAATTTCTGTAACTAGCCTATTTAATTTGCAGCCCCCACTGAACTACCCTCACTTGGACAGCTCAGTTTCTGTCTGCCTGGGCTCACTTGGTAACCTCAGTTTTTAGACTCACCCTGATGTGGCACTGGCTTCTCCTTGGACATCCAGTTCTCAACTGTGGATCCCAGTCTGGCACAGAGAAACTTTGAACTTAGGCTGCTAAACTGAACAGGCACGACAACTTTGGTTCTGACTTGACCATGATAAATGTTTATAGCCTTCCCCCAGGCTTCTGCACTTCTTTTTTAGCCACAGCTAATTTCACTGACTCTTACTTCTTTCTTACTCCACTGCCTCCTTTCTCATCATTCACCGGTGGATTTGTTTCCTTTTTGTTATATGTAAAGCACATTTCTTATTCCCCATGATTGCTTTGAACAATGTTGATCCAGTTTCAGTTTTCTTAAGTCCTCTCTGCTTATCTGTAAACACTGTTTTTGCTGCAAAGATTCCTCTACAGCTTTCCTTTCCTAAAACAGTTGCAGAGAGGGAAGATTTGAAACAAACACTCCCATTTCTAAGTCTCCTTTGTGATGAGACAAGACCCAGAACAATTTTTACCCTTTCTCAAATTATGCTGTCTTACACAACATTTTTACCAGGTCTAGTTTTCAGTTATGTCTTCCATAAACACATACCCAAAATCTGAATAGCAACATTTTTGCAAAGTGGGAATTGAATGTTATTTTTAGGCAGTAACACTTAAAACCTTCAGGGGTTCCCCAGCTTTCATTTAAAAATCTTAACAAATCCACAGAAGAGTATCAAAAAGGGCAAAGAAATGTCTTTTCAGGTCCAGAACCTCTGGGAACACCACATCAAATGCAGTGTAAAATTCTCACAGTGACCAGAGCTAATATATCCATTGACAGCTCTGAGCCCTTTAAGACATCACTTGGTGGCCTCTGTTTCATTCCCTCTGAATACATCTCCACTCCAGTGGAAACTGTTAATGATAACTTCAGCAGAGAGGTCCTCATTCAGCCAAACCCCTAAGCACAAATGTAATTTTCAGGCTGAAGATACTGCCATTGAAATCTGTGGCAAAATTACATTTCAGCCTGTTGTATTAGACTGTGACTGACCAAGCTCTTGCACTTCACCAGTCCTTGCTGGTATGTGCTCTAAATCCCAGGATCCTGAAACAGACCCCAGTGTCTGCTTCTATTCTGGCATTTCCTCCAAACAGCACAAGAACAGAGTAAGAGAGGACCACTGCTTCATTCTCACTTGGGCTGTAATTCCATTGTGTGGCTGCTCCTTCCCTGCTAAGACTGAAGCAGTAGCACCTGTATTATTGCTTGATTGTAATGTCCTTTTTCCCAATCTCTTCTTTCCTACTTGCTACAAGAATGTATATTGTGAAATGGCCAAGTGTACAACACCAAACTCTGGGAAAATCAATAACCTGCAGTTGTACACTAAGTTTTAGGCCAAATCTTGCTTGTCTTAGGTGGCATTGTGAAGCTGTGAGGCTGAACCTGTGAATATGATGAGCAGGATTTGATCCCATCACACGAAGCAAGACTGCTTTTAAAACAGTCACAACCACTGCTCTTCTGCTTCTGGTCCATTCAAAGCGGCCCCTTCCTCATTTGCTCTCCTTCAGGTGCAGCACTTTGTTGTTTCCTTCCTTCTGGAAACTAAAGAGTGAAAGAAAGTCTTGCTATTTCGGATAGCATTAATTTTAAAAAAAAGAGAAATAAAGACATTTTAATTGCACGGGATTTCTGAATAAGGTTTCAAAGTGGGGGTAAAAAAATAGCTGTGTGCCTGGTACACAGAGAGCCCTTTCTCTTCCCCTTTGTGGCAGAGGAATCAATGGAATTCATATAAAAGAAGGAGGGGGGTGGGAAGAGAGATAGGAGATGCCTTGCTCGGTACCAGCAGGTCACAAGCCTCATGAGGCTCGAGCAGGGCTTGCAAGGAAGCTGCTGACTCTCTGTCCATGTGTACCTTTTTGTTCCTTGCCTTGGATTTGCTGGTCAGTGGCATGCTGCTTTGCCTGGCTCTCCATAGAGCTTGTAGCCTACAGGAATTTGGACAGAGTGGTACAGACATCGCCGACAGAGACCCTGATCACTGACTATCCCTTTAAATGCAGTCTCATGACTTAGTCTTTGCTCCACTACCTATTAAAGAAGGAGACAAGACGTTCATAGGCAGCTTCCATTCAGGCACCCAGAAGGACACAGGAAGGCAAGACAATTTAACAGATCTAACTGTGAGTAAATACGAAGCATTAGAGGTGCTCTCTAGAGCAAAGGGCATGGAGAAAGATTTGTAGGAAATCCTGAGGTGCAAGAAGGTGCAGTAATTTTTAAAATATACTTGTATACAATCTTCAAATGTGGAATTCTGTAAGGAAAGATATTCTCTCATTTTAACATTATTCCTTTAAATATGACTCTAAGTGTCTCTTAATATAACGTTGACCAGTGCTTGATTTCCCATAAAAATCTGATGTGGTGATTTTGTGCTGCAAGCACTGAAGCCTTTTGCAAATACCACCTTTTCTTTCGCTGGCATAAATTTCACAGAAGGAATATCTGGGGGGGAAATTTGAAGGCAGCCTTTTGCAAACTTGGATCCAAAGCCCAGCCTGGAGCCTCCAATTAGATTTCTTCATTTCACAAGGGGTGGCCTTCCTTCTGGGAGTGACCCTCTTTCTGCTGAGGACAGAAAGGAGCTGTGGGTGCTCAGCAGCATGGAGATTGCACTGAGGTGGCCCATCATGTGTGCAGGCAGCTAATTTTTAACCAAGAGACTGTGTCTCCATGCTCTGTAATGGAATACCATCTTACATGTTACAGCATTCTGGAAAATTCAGTTCTTGTTGGTCATCAGAATCATCAGCATGTCCATACATATGTCTTTTCTTTTTTTTTTCTTTTTTTTTTCTTTTTTTAATGACAGTAGCTACTGAGTAGACCTGGACAAGTATTTTAACAGTTATCATTACTATTCCAAGTGACACCTCAACACTGATGGAAAGTTCCTCTGCCAGCTCAGCCTATTGCTTTTCTAAATATATCCATGTCATTAATTGCAGGTATTAGCTGGTAGAGACTGTTCCCAGCTCGTCTTCATGTTGCCCATTTTATTCTCTGCATTTGTCCTGTCTGCTTGCTGCCTGACCAAAGGGAACTGCATCTCCCATGATGAGCTGAGAGAGCTGCAGACTGAATTTGCCATCAGTCTCTACCGGCAGGTGTCTGAAGCAGAGAACAGGACCAATCTGGTAGTCTCTCCAGCAAGTGTGGCTGTTTCTTTGGAGCTGCTGCAGTTTGGAGCTCAAGGAAATACCTTTACGGAGCTGCAAGATGCCCTAGGATACAGCATTCATGGTAATGTACTTTAAAAATCCTTATTGTCTCATTTTGGTAATGAATTCACAGCTTTATAAAGGTGACAGGAATTGCACACATCATACTAAACTTCTGCTTTCTCTCTCACTGCAAGATGTAGTTCTCTTTGTCTTTGACAGCCACATATCAGGTGGACAAAGGAAACTCAAAGGAGTAGATGACACACAGGTTATTATTCGTCTTTTTTCTGAATCAGTACTTACTCTTTTATGACACAAAATACATCTACATCTAGAAAAGCTACTTCCCTGAACTGCAGAATTACTCCAGGTTTGCCAGAGGTCTATTGTGTCCACTGTGTCCTGGTCTCCTTTGTGTGCTCTGCAAAGAACTGCCAGGCAGAAAACAGTGTTTTCTCTCCTATCCCACTAAAAATTTTTATGAAACCTGTAGAAGCTGAATTATCTTTAAGACTTTTCTAATGCTATTACAACTGGCCCAAAAGATGAAAAATTATCAGAAGGAGACTGGCAGACAGAGATACATGTTGACAGATGGGTGGTGCAATTGCATCTTTCTCTGAAAGCAGGCTAAAATATAAAACTCACTGGGAATTTGGAAGGGATATGGGAAAGACAGATGTCTTTAAATCCAGCATTAAGTCAGCTGAATTTAAGGATGCTGTTTTCATTTTAGCTCTGGATTATCCTACCATCTCAAATCACATGTCAAAAACTATTTTACATTACGGGCAGAATGTTTATGAAAAGCAGATGACTGCCTCATCTTCAAAATTTGCAGCTTACATACAATACTTATGTATAGAGATAACACTGCTATTTCTCAGCATAAAATTTACCTTTAGGGTATGAACACTAAAACCCACAATAATTTCATTGTCCTGTGATATATCCAGCCTCAGTCACCACCACCATTCTGTGCAGCATTGATATTCAACCCCAGCACAGCAGTAAGAGCTAACTCTGGCTGATCCATGCCAATACAGCCACATGTACTGACACAGGGACAGGGCATCTAAATTATGAACAGATGATATAATAAAGTCTTGCTCACAGGACTGCTATTTCTGTAAATTCAATTCCTAAACAACATTAATTCATACAAGGATTGTATCTTGCTTGACACTTCTGGTCATTAGGGGCTCAGTTATTATGAAAGGACCTTACAGAATAACATTTCAAAGTGAAATTCAAGAACAGATCTTCAGAGAAAATTTAACAGAGAAATGCAGGGGTTGTTAATGACCTGCTAGCTCTTCTATGCTTTCTTCTTCTCATGTGGCACATCATGGTAAGCAGACATTTTATCTCCATTTTAGCTGTCTGTGGCATAAACCACGTGAGCTTTGGCTTTCAGCAATACTAATGCATGAATGTGAAAATAAAGTAGGACAGGATCTATTGTTATTGGTATATAGTGTTTTTCCAGTAACGGGGAAGGAAACCACTTCCTCAAATGGTCTAAATCAATTTAATAAATTAAATACTTAGATGAAATTTCCTATAAGATGAATAAACCCAAATTGTGTATGTATGGATATATGATAAAATTCTTTTCTTCCAGTAGATGTTTGCATTAATGTTTATGTTGGTCTGCCCTAACCAATAATGAAAGATATGGATAAAAGCTTAGCAGGCTGAAAACAATGGAAACATCAATGGTTCATTCACTGCTCACAGAGAATCTGCTCTTACATGCATCTGTAAACTTCTTTCAAAGTTTGGAAAACTTGTTCACCTTTCTTCTAGTACTAACAAAACAATGTACAATGGGATGTATGTCTAGATAGCACAGACAAAATGACATGCTTTAAAATTATTTCTCCTTGCTGTTTAATTAAAGCAATTTTGAGCTGTTGTTCAAGTAAGAATTTGGGACTTTGGTTAGCTAAGCACTTTGGTGAAGTCACAAGCTTGGGATACCACTCCTCACATTCATCTCTGCTTCTAATTTACCATCTTTGACTTCTCACATCTTCCAGAAAGCTCACCAAGTGCTCCCATACTAATACAAGACACACAAGAACAATATTCACACCTCAGACCATGTCAATTTTCTTAAAAAAAGAAAAAAGCCCACTGTTGTGGACTGTGTAAATAAAGGAGTAACTTGTAACACATTAAGCAATTTATCAGCTTGGTTTAGCCAGGGCTCATCAGCAATACTGGACCAGTTTGGGACACCTTCCTTCAAGAAATCAAACAACACCTAAGGGCCATGGGTGGCAGAGGGGCTGTCAGAGAAATGCCTTTCCTGGATAGGTGGATAACATCAGGAGAAGGAGATAGTGGTGTTGTGTCATTGGCAGCTCAGCCAATCATGGCCAGAGGCACTAGACCTCACTGGTGGGAGCTCAGAGAGTGACCAAGAAAGAATAACAACCTTATGAACTGTTAAGAACTGTGTCTACATAGAACTGTGAGCCTGACACAAGATCAGCTGCTTGGCATATCTACACTAGAGTGATTTCTACAGTCACATGAAGAGAGCTTTCCAATGCCCGTCGCAGCAGTGCTTGACAGATTACTCCACAAAGTCAAGGGTGCTCCAGTTGTTAAGGGGCTTTAACAGTCAGAGGACACTGGTGTCAGCACTGGAGCTGAGAGCTGCGGAGCCCTGGGGCAATCCCTGCTGTCCTCAGCCTCTGACAATTGCACTTTCTCTCTCTTGCCTGGCAGATCAAAGCGTGCAGGATTTCATGCACACGGTGGATGAAGCAGTGGCTGACTCCAGCCAAGGCACAGTGATCCAGCTGGGATGTTCCCTCCTTGTGGATGCAAGCGTGCAGCTCTCGCCCGACTTCGCCGAGCGCGCCGCGCGCTGCGCCAACAGCAGCCTGCTCCAAACCAACCTCACCGACCCCAACAGCACCCACGTACAGGAAGGGATCACCACTGACCTTACAGGTACCATAGGGACCCACAGGAATGGTTGCACATGAATGAAATGTAAAATAAGAGTAATGGGAGAAATTGCATTTAACCAAGCATAAAGATTTTTGCCACGTCCATGTTGCCCAAACCACGTCTGAAGGCAGGAAACTAATTCTTGTGTTAACACTCATCTGTAATGTGAAGAAAGAGCTGGAATAGGTCTGAATGTGTAAGCAGTGTCAAGCTGGTAACCACTTTGCCTTGTTCCCTTAATTTTTAAAAAGGCAATCCTTTGCAGCGTTCTCAGTTTTAATTAGGAACAGCCAAATTCCCCTTGGACCATATTCATGGCACAGAATGCTTTCACAGTGCTACAGGAGACACACAGGGGCGTAAGCTCAGCAGTCAGACTCTGAGTTTAAAAAGCCAAAACGGGGAATAAAAACACTGGCCAGCTCAATCTCAGCTCTGGGGAGAGCATGGACCAACAGGCAGCCCCAGTAAGGTGCATGTGTAGGTGGGGAGGGGAAGGTAGAGGGTGAGCAGTGCCTTGTGAGTTGTGCCTCTTGGCCTTAGGGATGGAGAGTGGTCTCAGCTTGCTTTATTTAGTCACATGGACCTGGGCATGTAGGACTGCACGTGTCCCCCTGCCTTGTCTCTTTTCCATGCAGATGGGGATATGCACGGGATGACACTGGAGAGCACTGCGCCATCACTCAGCCAGGTCACCCTGGTGAGCACCCTGTTCTTCAGAAGCATGTGGCAAAAAAAGTTTTCCTTCATGGATTCCCAGATGTTGCCTTTTACAACGCCAGAGGGCTCGACCCTGAAAGTGCCCACCATGCACCACACAGCTGAAGTTAACTACGGTAACTGTCCTTGATCCATATTTGATCTACTGTGCAATATGGAACAGATTTATTCATTTCCACAGACCCACACTAAGATGTGTTGTTTTCCCAGCTTGGAGAAATCTCATAAGAAGTCCCATCAAATGAAAAGACCACCCAGGTGACCAAATTGACTCCTCATAATTCCAGGCAATCATGAAACAGATCCTGGGTTCAAAATGGTTCCTAAAACATCTACTGTCCCTGTCCCATCCCTCACAGACAAACAGCTCCCAGTACTCCATAGCAAACTTGTCAGCTGTAGGAAACAGTCAAAAGGCACCAATACATCATGCCAGCAGAAAGATATATGGATGAGAGACTGAGGGTACATATATATATACAAAGTCCTTTACAATAGCATGGAGCTGGTTAAAAAAAGCTGGCTAGGAAGAGGCTACAGCAGGAAGAACATCTGACCACATGACAGAGGGATAAACAACACTAAAATTATATCAAGCCCCTAGCAGTTTGATTTGTTGGGTAAGACATTTCTTGGCCCCTCAGCCAAATCACTGTCCCTTGAATGTGTGAGCACCAGAGGGAGCAGAGCTCCAACACTGCAAACCTTCAGATCTGGTCATAGCCTGTCTCCAAGGCCTTAAGGAAAAACTGCAGATCTTCAGGGACAAATTCCCGAAAAAGAACATAAATTCTTAGGTCATTTATACCAAATCAGTGGATGATCTCAGCATGGGCTTAAAACAGTATAAATATAGGTCAAACTCTTATTTGTATAATATATGAATACAGTGTAGGCTACTTTCAAAGGCTTGATGTATGTGGGTTGCTGACAGAAGGACTCATGCTGCAGGCTTAATTTTTCTGCCACCAGGAATTATGCCAGTTAGCTACACAATCTCTTTCAAAATATAAAAAGATCTTTTCCCTCCCACTTTAAATTTCAGAACTGCACTTGGGTGAAAACTGTCCAAATTCCAAATCGAATTTTTTTTAAGACAGATTTATATCTCTTAGCATCCTGCCTGATTTATCCTTTAAGTTAAATAGCTTCTCTTCAGCTTTGACATCTACTTCCAAATGTAATTGCAAGCCACCAAGTTTTCCCTCAATTTCCTAATAGCTAAGATGAAACCTGATGCCAGGGTTTTCTAAACTATTCAAAAACCAAATTCTCTACTAGCTCTATTTTTGAACTTTTCCAATTTAAATTAATCTTTCTTTTAAATAAATGACCAGAAATGTACACAAAACTTTCAATGAGGGCATACACATGCTTGATAAAATGATTTCACAATTTCTGTGTCTTGATAAAAATACCTTGTGTAGTGTACTGCAGAACTGGCTCAGGGTGGTTACACAAGGTTGGCCCCACCTGGGCCCTTTTCCTTTTGGCACATTTTCCTAGGTAAATCAGGGGGAAGGAAATCTCCAGAGATATATAAATTCTTTGTGTGTTTTTCACCCACCATTTTGTTTCCACCACTCCAGCCTTCATGGCAATCTCACTGTTTGTCTTTGATATAAGTCTTGAGTGCTGACAGTACTTTGGAAAGCTACCAGTGACCCTTTTCAACCTCTTGTACCTTTGCTCATTGCAGTTTCCCCTTCAAGTGGCTGCTTGCTGCCTTTCCTTTCTGGTTCTAAGTGCCAGCACTTCTACTTGTAAATAGTGGCACAGTGAAACAATATTTTACCTAAAATGGCTGGATCTGTGCCTTTTTATCAAATTCGTTTACAAGTCAAAAAAGTTCATAGCTTCATTTACCAGTCTACATGATACTGCAATTTATCTCACTTTCTATTTCTCTCTGTGACCTGATTATTCTTTTCTCCAGAGTGTCCTAAAACTTCTCAAAGACAGACCTAAAGATTCACAGATTGCCTTCTTTTTCTTACAAATGTACTCCTGTTCCCTACTCATGGGAAAAAACTGAACCATCAGGCTATTAAAAATCTTTGCTGACTCATTTGCAATTCCACATCCAAGTTCTTCTCATATTCTGGGGTGATCATTATGGCCCCAGATTATTAAATGACAGAAGGCAGGGGGCTGCTGTTTCTTGTACAAGTAGAATCTCAGATAAAGCCAGTTACCAGGGGTTCTACAGCTGAGCTGCATTGCCTGACCGTATATTTGCTCCAGAGTCCTTGCAAAGTTGATGTGAAATATTTTGTTGTGCTCTTTTGACCACTTGCCAAAACACAAGGAACTCCATCCCATCATCCTTAAGTAGCTAGCTAGAGCACTACATTTTTCCACAGAAAAGGAAAGACAAAATATTTGCATTGCCTTTCATCCAGCCTGAAACGTGTGAGCTCTCTGCAGCTGGAGAGACTATTGAGGAAGGCCAAAATAGAAGGGATCATTTAAAATTTCCTGGTTGTCACATTTGATTGGGCCAATTCACTCTTCTTCACTAAAAAATCCAGAAACATTTCTAACAAATCTAGCAAGTTTAAAATCAATGCAAAAGACTGGCTCAGTACAACTAAACATCGGACTGAGACGACTGTCCTTCATTATTAAATGATAGCAGCTGTGTCCCACCAGGATCCAAAACACAGAGTGAGAAAGATAAGATGTGGCCTGTTATCAGTTGCAGCATTTACAACATTGTTTATCCTTTTAACATTGCCACACAGAACAAACCAGCCTGGGGACAAGTAAGACTGCTCTAAGAAAATGTCAACATTACTGTTCACACACACTGCTCAAACACCACAACTATTTTACATATTCATTTTACCATGCAATTTGTTAACAACATTTGAATTCCAATTTAGCATATGTATAATCCTTATGGGATGCTCAAAATTAGTTCAAGCAACAAACATTAAATGTTCTGACTCAATAACCTAAAGTCTTTGATTTTCTTTCTAATTAATAAATAAGGACTGTATAACCTTTGTGCAGAATGTGCTGACTTCAAAATATCAGCATGCCCACAAATAATACCACTCATGTCCATTGCACTGCAAATATAAATCTTCCTTTCCTGCCCATTGGAAACCAGAACATCTTCTCCCAGCAAATGATCCACATGATGGGAGTTGGTTTCAACAGAGCAATTCTCTCTCTAGATTGCAGGCAGGAGGGCTAAGAGCCTAAAAATTAATCTAGTAGAACAATCAACACTTAATTAATCCTATCTAGTCCATATCTGCAAAACTAACAAACACCGTACCCTAAATATTTCAGACATCCTACAGCCATGTATTTATTGCCAAATACTTAGGTACTATGAACATGAGCTATCCATATACAGTTATTTACAACCACTGACTCAAACAGTGTGACCATCTACTCTTGAAAATACAACTGCTTCAGCTGGGTGAAGGAGGTGTGCATTCAATATTTAGGATGGCCTGCAGTAAAGGCAGTAAGACTTTCACTTGTGCCTTGTACTTAAGTTGTATTAAACTCCTGGCCACTCACTGTTGCTGAGTGTTCCTGAAATGCTACTTACTGGATTCTCAGATGAAAAAATAAGGAAGCAAAATTGTGACAGACAAATCTGTTCCATTGTATAACAGTTTCCATTAGAAATGCCTGGATTAATTGTTTTTTGGAATACGGGATGAAAATAGTACTTTTAAATGGCTGTTACAAATTGCTGTAAAACTAATTGCAAGTTTGGAAGCTCTCCAGCTTTTCTCTTCTTTTACTTTTGAGACTCCTTTTTATGACCTTCATCTGACTATGATAAGTCTTTGTGCCTACCTTTAAAAAAAATATAAAATTAGTGCTTAAATAAAAATAGTTAATGCTTAAATAAGCATTTACTAGCTTTTGTTTAATAGAACTATTTTTTTATTGAAATAAGATTAAAATTGATTTTTTACGGTAGTAAAGATGGAAACATGAGCCAAAGTAGGTTTCAATTAATCATCTAGGACACTCTGCATTTTGTTTTTGTAATTCCTACCTGTTGTTGTAAAATTTTAATGAAAACTACTATAAAATTGTAAGTTTATTCAAAGAACATACCTTGTGGGAAGAGTCATCATAGCTGCTGCATTGCTTTGGTAGTTTTGGGGGTTTTGTCCCCAAACTGAGCAAGGAGGACAGCTGTTATATGGAACAGTAATAAAATACCCATGCTCTGTTGAGGTGGTTGTCCAGGTGCTATCAGTGTCATTGGCACTGCTCTGCCAAAATATCTGTGTCTGACACACTCAGCTCTGTTCAGGTGAGTTAACAGCAACCCGAGCTGGCTACAGGAGCCCAACAGCTGGAGACCACTCCTCACATCCCACCACAGCTGCTCTGAGCTGTCTGCTGACCCAGCAAGGGTTGTGGGTTCAGGGGTTTCTTCCCACTTGAATGATTAAATAAGAGCTCTCTCTGCCCACCCACAGGCCAGTTCCAGACTGCAGCTCTGGAGGCTTTCAGCGTGGTCGAGTTACCCTACCTGGGAGAGAAACTCAGCATGTTCCTAGTGCTTCCCAGCCACAAAAGAACACCTTTGTCCCACATTGAGTCTCACCTTTCTGCCAAAACCATAACCCTCTGGGCCAACAGCTTGAAGAGAACAAAGATGGACATTTTTCTGCCTAGGTAAGCAATGTTAGCACAATGGATTCACTACTTCAGCTGTCAGAATTCCATGTGACAGTGCTGACACAAGCAGTGTGTGACCAAAATCACATGCTTTTGGTTTCATTATTCATCACATGACCAGAGATGCTCTAACCTTTTCTTAAACCACAAAAAGGTGAGCCAGGAATGAAAAGACCTTCTGGTTACACTCTGTACTGTTTTTAAAAAACCTACATATTTCAGTTGATCCTACAGCTTTTACTTACAATTTCTTTGAGATATAAATCCTTTAAGGATCTAAACCAGAGAAATGTTGCTAGACCTTTGCCACACTCATTTTTCTCTTTGTTTAAGGAACAATAAACATATAACCTCCTAAAGACGCATTATTTTGTCTTTCTTTAACTTGCCAGAGTACTAAAAAGGCACAGGACAAGGAGCTTGGCCCCCCTCCAGCAGCCATAACCATCTTTCCATGCACAAAGCAGGTTTCACTCATCCATTTTCCACTTTAGTTGGTTGTTGTTTTAGCAAACACCTATGCTGGAGGTATTTTCTATCATCTACTCCAGTGAAATTGCATAGCAGGAGGAATTAGGCACAGAAGGCTTCATGTGCCTGTATCTACTGTATGGATTAGCACAGAAGGGCTTCATTACACACATCCTACAACACATTCATCACATTAACAGAGCGCTGAAAAACAGTGTGTACATTAGTATTTATTTTCTTCAAGCTAAATTTTGGGAAATATTTCCAAGGGCCATTTGCTATAGCCAAAAATAATATTAGAAAGAGAACACTCCATGGAAATGCAGAATTCACGTCAAGAAGACTTAGTAGCAATCTGATTGCAACAGAGGGATTCTTTCTGTTAATGTCTTCAGGTGAAGGTGAGCTACTTTTCTGCAAATACACAATCAGACAATGCACTGGGCTCATACAGGAAAAGATGGATGAAATGCAAAAGCTTGAAATAAATTTTATCTGTTAATGTCCTTTAAATTCTACAAAACTCCACAAATCCTGCATTCAAATAAAGTCTGTCATATTAATTTCAGATTCAGCATTCAAAGCCTTTTTGACCTAAAGACAATTCTTTCTGCCTTGGGAATTAGAGATGCATTTGATCCCATCACTGCTAATTTTAAAGGCATTTCAGGTAAGAGGCTTGACTGAATACAAAATCATCCTTGACCCAATAGTTGTAGATTCTTACATTTGAATGATTTGTTAGACCTGGGTCTTCTGAATTGATTGTACTTCTTTATCTGTGAAACTCTAAAGCACAATTCACACTCAACTGCAATTGTATTTTGAGCTGTTTTGTAGGAAAGAGGAACCTGAGAAGGACAGGTTTGGTTTTGGTCTTGAACTTACTTTTTTCTTGTCTATAAGATTAAAACTGTCAAGACAGTGTAGGCCTGTGAAAATGGTTATTTTTCAGAAATTTACGATGCTTTAGTAAAACTTACATTCCTGTTTGTATTTTCAAATAGTTATTTAACAGTGAGGGATGCTGGTCCAACAAGTGCATATTCCAACTCCTGACACTGCAAACAATACCCAGGCTATATTGTCTTGCTAATCCAGTAATCAGTATACAAAGTTATACTTTCTCTTTGCTAAAATACTGTTGTTATGATTAAAATCTTGGGTTTGGAACACTGAAATCCTTCTGCTTTTTGGAAAATTTTCCCCCATTTAATATTAAATGAAAAATAAAGAATCCACATTATTTATTCTTTTTCTTTTGACTCCTTCCAGCAACTTAGTCATTTCTGCTCACAGTAAAGACTTGGGAGTGGTAGCTGCCCAGCAAGCAGCTCACATTCTTGTGCATGTGAGTGAATAAATGAAATTGCTCCAATTCAGACAAACCTGCTTTTACAGAAAAGTTGCTTTCCTGGGATGAACCTCAGAAGGCACATTACTCATGGAGTTTTTTATGCTGCTCTTAAAATTGAGCATAGCAATCTTCCATTGCAATATAGATCTCAGACTGCACATAGATGCACATTAAAATAATTTGTTACTGCTCACTGCTGCTTTGCTTATTGCAAGCAAATGTTAATATACTGATGAACTACACAAGGATATATGTTATAAAGTTAATAACTATTTAAATAAGATAAATACTTTGGGGAAATTAATTCCATAAACAATATGATTTAGCAGTTTCCCTTTGGCTTTTGGCATACAGGATAAGGCTTGTAGAAGGATTTGATCCTGCTCTGGCAGGGAACAAAGGATATGTTGAGACCCTTTTTAGTTCTACTCTTACACCACCGTGTCATAGCAGTAGGTACTGTCTAAGAGTTATGTAAGGCAGAGTTTACAAGGAAAATGTATCTTTTACTTAAACAATAGATAGTTGAGGAGAAAAAATAGGGATGCTTTAATTTCCTTTTCTGTATGAAGGACAAGGATAATCTTCAGAATATTTACTCTCAGATCACATGTGGCAAACAAATGTGTTACTCCATTTCAGACCCGAAACAGCTTTCTTAAACCTGAAAGCTTGTATTTTTCCCCCTCAACAATGTGTAAGATTTATCTACTTTTTTAAATTCTTCCTCTCCCTAGTTTTGTCCTGATTGATTCCCTTGCAGTTTTTCTGACTGGACAAAATTAAGACAGAAATAGATAAAATTCTCTTTTAGCATTTCTTTGATTTGACCGACATGTTAGACTTGATCCTTGAATTCAGACAAGAAAGAAAAAAATCAACCTTTCCTGCTTTCTGCCTTTTACAGCAGACTTGTAACACTCTCTCTTTCAGTGTCCTGAAAGTAATCATTTTCCAAGATGCATTTTATGCCACAGTTCCATTGTTTCTTCCAGAAGAACATTTTTTCTACATTTTTCCCTTCCAAGGGTTCTTCAGTTCTTTCATTGCCCTCACTCTGTTAAAGTTTCTGTTTTCACTATGTAACCTTGCCTTCCACCACAAACTGGAGACCTCTCAAGCTAGTAACTCCCATTCAGCATTCAATCCACTATTATCCATATAGTGGGAGAAGAGTCAAAGGCTGAAATACATAACAGTTATGTGATCCTTAGATTCTGTAGGAAAAAAAAGGTAAAGGCATTTGGAGAATTTTTTTAAAATATGTTTGTAGCGAAATGCAGAAAATGACTTATTAATTTTTGGCGGTTTGCAGAGCAAGATAGCCTTTATATTTCAGAAGCTACTCACAAAGCAGAAATTGAAGTAACAGAAGATGGTACAACGGCATCAGGAGCTACAGGTAAATCAAATACTCAGATAAACTTCTCACTTCTGGAGCTTACCACTATAAAACCAACTACTAGTCTCTTATTTAAAACCAAAAAAAAGCATTGTAGAATTTACAAGTATGCCTAACAAACTTTTTTATTTAACACACTTCCATTTTACCTTTGTAATTGTTCATAAGAAACTTTAATTTTTGATGTCCAACTAAGGTGTAATGGCTCAAAACAAAAAAACAACTTTGTCAGTCCAGGGAAAATCCAGTTTGAGAAAATATACTGCTTATTTTTCTGCTGGTTGTCTATTTGTTCAGATCATAAGAAGAAAAAATGAAAAAAGGTTAGTAATATTTCATCTACAGCACCTGAATTGTTATGAGATTTGAGGAAGACCGCTTTGATAGCATTAATGGTAATGATGGGCAAGTTTTATGCAGACAAGCTTGATCCTCACATACTTTGAAGTGTTCATGTGCAGTTAGCCCTGCTAACAGATCACTTGCACACGAGCAGGTGGGACTGGGTGAGCGGGAGAGTCAGAGCAAAGTCCCAGCTATGGACTACCCAGTCAGTACAGGATTCATTCCCCATTAACCACATCTCGCCTTTCTGCTTCCCTGGGCAGTTCCAAGGATAAATGTGCTCCACATCACAAAGGCTGGTTGCCCTTGGCTGGGGACCAGGGCACTCTTATCATTTCTCCTCCTTGCTCCCAGGAAGGAATTCAAGAGGCATGTAGCGAGTATGGCAGTGCATCTCACTGGGGTGCCCAACCTGTTGCACATGCCCTCACTCCAACCTCCCACAGCTGCAATGCCAAAAAGAACCCGAGCACACCTGAACTGATGTATTCAGTATTCCTCTAGAAACAACCCTGAAAAAGGCACACATGTACATAGGGGGGTATACAGAGAACATGTGGCATAACTAAGTTAACCCTTCTGCAGAGCTGTACAGTTTAGAATTTTGTAACAGTTTTAATCTCTATTTTTATATAATATAGTAATATTTTTAATAACTTTGTGGTAAGGCCCATACAAAAGAAAAGCTTTTAAGTGACTTCAATTACATACCAAAGGCTAAGAGAAAAATACCTTTATCCCCTTGAAACCAATGCCAAAACAACCCTTAACTCCAGTCAGACCAAGTTGACAAGCAAGTTTTAAAAATTGCAATTACATTTACTGTTTACTTTAAAAACTTTGGATCTAGTCACATGATGACTAGAAGCTAGGCACTTTTTTTTTTTCTACAGGGACCAAAACAGTGCCTTCTCAAACTAGTTTTATTGTCTTACTTGAATTTTCAAAGTAATTCCATTGGTTTAACTGTTCAAAAATAATCCAGATCTGGTGGGTTTAGTGGTGGGGGTTTTGACAATGTATTCTTTATAAAATATAGCTAAAAGAATTTATTTAAACAAGATGTATTTTAATAATAGCTGAGCCATCATAATTCTTAAAAACTCTTTATTTAATCTAAAAATTAACCCACAACCAGAGAGGAAAGACAGTCATAAACTGAGTTGAGGATACTTGAGACTTTGTTGAGAGTTCTGGCAAGAGAAATTTCAGAATGATGTAGGTATTTCTCTGCTGCTTGTTTCCCAATTGGATAAGGAACTACATTTGTGCCTTGCTTATCTTTTTCACCAGAACAGCATACCTGGGAATTGGCTAACAGATGAGACAACAAGTATGACTTCAGCAGAGTTAGGGGTGTGATGACAACAAAATTACCTTTGAGATCCAACGCCAGGCAGATGCCCTTCAGCACTGAAATGTTAAAAATCACCTGCATGTAGTTTCACAACTCCTGACTTGTTAATCTTGCCAGACTGATCTCACTGTTGGATAAAATTGGTGTTTTAATCTTAAAGCAGAGGAGTAACTCAAAAGTCAAGGTACTAACCAGAGCTTGAGGGCACTGTATGGAAGATGGAAAGAAAAAAAGATGCATTTTTTACTGATGTTTTCTTTGTCGCATTACAGCAATGGTCTTACTAAAAAGATCTCGAACACCTATTTTCAAAGCAGATCGACCTTTCACATTTTTCCTGAGACAAGCTAATACAGGTATGCATGCTCTGCCTTTCAGGAGCAGAATCCCACACAGGTAGCACTGAAATCAAGACAAATAGTACGCCATTCCTCAGTTCAGGAAACTTCAAACAATCACAGAAACATTGGGGATTGGGGTTTTAAAGCATAGATTCTAATTTCCTAAAAAAGAACGTATAATAGTCATAGAAGTCTAGGAAGCCAGATTAGCCTCTTCTTTGGACATGCAGTATGTACTCAAAAAATTTCTATCAGAATTATAGGCACTAGAGAGATCTCAGAGATGCTGAACATTCCACTATTAGAAACTGATCTCTACAGGGCAATTCAAGTCACAAATGGGCTGGACCAGCTGGATTAACATCTGAAGTAGTTAAAATAGAAACCTTTCCCTATAAAGGAAACTTAGCCATGCCTATACTGATAGCAAACAGACTTCTGCCAAAAAATGTTTCTTTGCAACTGTTAACTCTTTTCTTACAAATTACTTCCCCTAGCCCCCAAACAAAAACCACCCAAAAAACCCAAACAGAATTGCAGAGCATGTCTTAGAGTGAAGCATCACAGTGTTCCTTTAGCTTCAGTAGCTGATTATAAGTCTCATTTCAGATGTCCAATCACATTAAGTTATTCCAGAATGTCTGCCAAAATAAAACACCCTATAGCTTGTTGGCAACAATAAAAAACTGCATTATCCACCATTTAGCAGGTATTTGCTACTCTGAAGCATCAGGCCAATCCAACAACTCTTATCATTCCTAACAATGCAGTAATTTTGCACATGAAGTATTTTCCTACAAATTGTTCAAACCACCACATTTCTCTCACAACTGGGGTCACAGCCATTTAGATTTTCAAGGAACATAGAGATATTTATAGGGTTCAGTAAAACACTGGGACCTAGCACAAAGACAGAAATATCTCCCTTATCCGCTTCCAAGCAACATACACTGTTCTCTTAGTCAGTGAATACCTGTGTACGTAACATTTTGTTTTAAAAACCCGTATCGTGGATTTTGACCACAGTACAAGCACCCAAAGAGAAAATTACTGCTTTGGTTGGAATTTTGTTTTAAATATGCTTTGGCAATCATTACCAGTCAATGAATAAAAGTATTTTACTTGGCAAATGCAGAATTTTAAAATAAAAAGGCATTAATAAGCTCACCTATGAAACATGAGCCACAGACTCTTCAAGATTAAAAACAAACTTACTTCAGTGACTAAAATGGGCAGTTTACAATATATATATAAATTATATAAGAGGAAGGAAATCAGATTGTAAAACAGGATTTTTATGTGAAGCATAAACTACATACCTTCCAATCAACTCAAAATCAAAAATATATTTCTGTAATTCAAGCTTTTTAATGCAAAAAGTGAAAACATTCAGTCATTTTGTTTGCTCAGACTTAGTGATTCAAGTTTTTGAGGTATGGAAAATTTGAACAGGTAAACAAGATCTATTTTTCATCCACCTGTCTAAAAGTGCTTAAAATCTCCATGCCCATATAGTTCTTAATGAATCTTTATGTAGACCAAAAGTATTACTTGCATCAATTTTCTAGTAATAGCAGAAATATGTTTTCCAATACTTAAAATAGCACAGTTCTGTTCAAAATAATTGAAAAATTTTGAGTGTTTTTTAATCTGAATTTCAGGTTTGCCTGTCCTTGCCTTGAAGGACAGGCAAGTTAACATTACAAATAACCAAACAAATCCAGTCATCCTGAGGCAGTAATTTCATTCTCTTTTATAACTAAAACACAAAGCCATGAACTTAGGTTCTGCTTTGCTCAGTGTAAGTCTCAGATTTTGGCAGGTTCCTGGTTTGGGCTACCAATTATTTGGAAAGGTGTTTTTAATACAGAATTGTTTAAATTATTTTAAGACAAGCATGCAATTGCAGTCAGTTTTTCCATACAAGCAATGAATGATTCTATGATCTGCTAGCTCCATGCCTGACTTATGTATTTAAACTGTGCACCCCAAAAATGTGGCCCCGAAATGAAATAATGTTAATACTGTTTTCATTTACAGGTTCAGTACTTTTTATAGGAAGAGTTACAAATCCTTCATAATAAGCACTAAATGCATATACTGACTTCTGCTCCTCCTGTGATGAGCTTTCCTCCAATGAAATGAAAGGCTACATTGTATGTATTTATTAAAACACAGTTTTAAGCATATTGCTTTTCCAAGAATCTCCACTACCCTACTACATAGTCGAGTCTGTTGAAACTTAGAGCTGTCTAGGAATCATCAGCACCACAACTACAGCAAAGACAGTATCCAAATAAACATTTGCAAAAAAATGGAACAGGTTTAGCCTCCTAAATGTATAACAATATGGACCAACAGCTTCTCTTCAACTTCATCATGGCTAAAGTCAGCTTGACTGTTGCTGAGTACGTAGGTCATTTGAATGAAAACAACCCACAAGAAAGCTTTGTGATATTATTTTTCAAGCACAATTTCATTTCCCTCTCCTGAAGTCCAAAGCTTTAGAATAAAACGGAAATTCAGTCTGAGCTCAGACAGTTATAACCCAGCTGATATAGAAGGTAACAAGCAAGCAGTGAAATGCTGTGAAAAAACAATCAAGTTGAAAGGCTGTTTTAAAAATGACACAGAATCATAGAATCATTATGGTTGGAAAATACCTCTTAGATCATAGAGTCCGACCATTAACCCAGCACCAAACCAAGTCCACCACTAAACCAAGTTCCTAAACACCACACCTATACACTTTTTGAACACTTCCAGGGATGGCAATTCTACCACTTGCCAGGGCAGCCTCCTCCACACAGAGCAGGGAAGAAGCAGAAATACCCACTCAGTGACCAAACCAATACTGCTAAGAGGCAGCAGTACTAACCTCTACTCCTTTGAAGTAAACACAACATAGAACAAAAATTCCAGAACAATGAATGTGACTACTGGCATAATGAAAAAGAAGGGGGGGGGGGTTTAGCCAAAAACTGGGATATGGCAAGTGTTCAGCAACTCGTGGCACAATAAGGGTTTTGGGTGAAGATGGCGAACCACTGACTCCCAAGAAAGATCAGAGAAGACTGTTTTATTCTGTTCCAGCTGAATCAAACACAGACTTGCAGATAACCCAGAGCATCCAGAACAGCTGAAAGATGTGGCCAGCAAAGCAATCAATGATATTTTGTGTCCAGGCAGCAGCACCCTGTAGCTGCTCCCACAGTTGTAAACCTGTAAAATGTTATGACACAGAAAACCTCTGTGCAGCCTTCCTCAAAGGACCTCTGGCTTCACTGTGGTGTATCCCTCAATAAAACTGCAGGGTTTGTCATGGCTACAGATGTGCTTACTAAACATCACTTTGTTATGTTGGCCACCAAAAGTGCAAGATACACAAGATATCCTACTGTAGCTGCAATTCAGCATTAGCTCTCTTTCACTCACTGTGATTAAGAGCAGAATATCCAGTGATACAAAACCACTCTGCATTCTTTAACACTGATACCAGAACACAGGAGCTCTGGAAAGGGAAGGGAAAACAAGTAATTTTGATAAAACCTGTACTCAAACCGACACAAAGATTAAAATAGAGATTTTATTGATGGAATAACAAAAGTGCTTTTCTTAAATATTTTTCAAAATACATTTATACAACTTACAATAATATATCCAAAATAACTGTATATACAAAACATTACCTTGTTTAATGCATGTGCTTTTTTTCTTTTTGAAAATTACAAAGCAACTTTTTGGCAAAGTTCAACCTTAAGAGGTGATAGTTTTGAAGGTTAGATTAAGAAAAATAGAACCTGAGGGCAAGTGACACTTATGTCCATGACAAGCAAGAAGTTCTCAATTTAGTTAAATAAAAACGTTTTTGTAGTATTTTTCACATTACAAAAATAACAGAAGTGAAGGAAAAAAAAGGATGATTGATACTTCTCATCATTTTATTGAGCAGCTTCTCATTCTTTCAGGTACAGGAACTTGAAATAAGAGTGCATGTCAAAAATGAATGCAAGTAAGAACAGCAGTGCCCTGCTGTGGCTCTGTCAGGTGCAGTTTCTTAGCTGCTCTTGATATGGTTGACCTGATTGGATCTGCGATGGATTTCTTCCAGAAAACTCTCAAGCTGTTCTATCAGCATTCGTTTTTTAAACCTGAATTTGAAAGAAAGCATTACAATGGATGCACAGAGTAATACATGAAACATCATTGACAAAACTTTTACTGAACTCTGGAAACTTCAGTTATTACTTCAGGAGCAGTGTATGATGAGGTATACATATACCTCATTTGTATACATACACTGTCTCCTAACATTCTGGTAAACCTAACCAAACTAACTTGCTTTTCCATTTGCTGAGTACAAAACTACATTTACGAGAGTTTATTATAGCTGAACATCACTCAGCTCTCATAAATCCAGGAAAAAGACACTTAAGAGTTTGTTGCTTCCAGAAGTGAAGTTCTGAAGCACAGAAATAAAATATACTTCAAAAGAACTATAATCCTAAAGCTGGCAAACAGCTTTTAGGGATTATTTGCATGCCTTCATGATGCATTCATCCAAGTTAACAAAGTTGGTACTGGTGGAGGAACAGCCATTACACAGTGCAAAGCAGATTTCCTGACAAACAACACAAATTAAAACTTTGAGAAAGAAATTAAAGGAAAATACAGGCATCCAAACTCCGTATCTCTGGAGTCTCTGCAGCTCTATTCCGTATCAGCTGTATAAATTTGATCAGCAGGCCATTCTGTCACCTTTGCTTACACCCCTACCTCAGGAAGTACAACTCCTAGCTGTTTCCAGCTAACCCCACCCTCGTGTAACATATCTGCACCTCTGAGAAGCCACTTCTGACCAATGCTTTGGTAGCCATATGTGCGTTCAAAGACAGGCAGCAATGAAAATATTTTGCACTATATCCCAAGTTCAGTCCTGTGACTTCACTAAACCCCAGCAGAAGCCTCTAGTTCCAGTCAGGCGTCCTGGTCCATGCCTTTGGCTCACAGAGACATGGTACCTGCCCTAATTTCCAGATCACAAGCCTCCCCAGAACCCCTTCTGCATCCAAGAGCAACACTCGACTACTGCCAAATTTTGTAGAATTGTCAGCTAAAGATAGCTGGAATAAAAAGACTGTGTAAGAGAAATGAGAGTTACAGGTGATCTTAAAAGCCTAATTTTACAGCATAAAAATTCCAACCCCACTAGGGGCTGCCACAAACTCCAAGAGCAACAGTATTGTTACAGTGCTGTGACAGTGAGGAAGAATTATAATTTGCAACACACAGAACAACTCTGACAGGCAATGTAACAATCAAGCACAAGCGCAATACAGCAATGGTTGCTACAGGAAGAGCACAATCTACGTGAATTTACATGCCCAACCAAGCTGGCAGTAGAAGGCTAGAGGATCTGTTTGAATGTCCAACATCCAGCATACCTTGAGAGGCACGGTTTTCTCCTAAAATGATTTCATTTTTAATAATGAAATTTGCTTAATGCCACAGGAAAAGAGCTGACTACCACAAAATAGATTAGAGAATAAGAAGCAGCTATTCTTTGAGGTTTCCAAAGTAAGCCTCAAAGTTCTGGTTATATTTACGATCCCTGCAAGATCCTGGAATTACTCACTCCCTGCAACTCAAACACTATTGGTTCTAATACATTTCTCCTTTTTTCCTCTCAGTAAGCATGTAGAAGGCTAAGTATGGACACTCTAAAGATACTGTAAAGATACAGTTTCTACCTGGATGAAAAACACAGGGTTTAAATCCTTATCAAGTCACTCTTCTTCAGAGAAAAGCCACCTCCATTTCCAAAGTCTCAGACAGAACTACGCTATCTCTGAATGAAGTATGCTGAAGAGTAGAGACATCTTTATGAGCATACCTGAAGTTAAAAACTATTTTTAGGACAAGATTTTGAGCTGATGCTGTTTCTGAAAGCCTAATTCCTAGTAACTGGCAGCTCCATTACATTTTCAAATTAGCTGTACACTCACCTGAACTTTTTTAATTGGAATTATTTTTTTAAAGTTGCCTTCTCTTTCTATACCATTGTCCATCTACATTCACAGGGCTTTGGCAGTTACAGTTGCTAACATCTTATAGCCAAAATCCAAGGGAAAAAGGTAAGCTTTTACAAAAAATACCTCAAGAAGCTTATGCATTTCTGTTCTTTCATAGGGAATTATTTACTTGCAGTGAAAAGTATTGTTTTCAAACAATTGTGTGATTGTACAGCAATTATATGTGGCACAACATGGTGCAGTTTTGTAAGAATAATACAATCCTGTTACCTACCTTGAAGCTTCTTTTATAACATTCTGTAAAAATATCAGCCGTGTTTGTAAGCTTCCTTGAACGTGCTTCAGCAAAAAGAAGATTCTTTCATATTCTTAAATGTCAAGAGAATAGAAACATTAGTTATTTAAAAGATGCCTACACAGATATCTGTTGTAATAGATTTGAGTGAAATTAAACATTCAATTTTTGTAAACTTTCAAGTTTTATCTCCTATCAACTGGAGCAAGGACATCTCAGTAAATGAGAACCAATAATAAAAAATACATGATATTGCACCTTAAGATATTACTAGCACCTATCAAGTTAATTCTAGTATTGATATAAAAAACATGACTTGCATGAACACTAATAGGTATAGCAATCTTTTAATCACTCCTACAGTAAGTTTTTAGCAGAGGTTTTAAAACAAATCTTTTCAGCTTTAAATTTAATTTTGCTTCAGTCTCATGGTCCAGCACACTTCCAAAATAGTGATCTAACAAATTCTTTGTTTAACTCTCATGCCAATTATTTGAAAGAAATTCAGTATACTTACTCCTTCCTGGTTTTCGGATCTCTTTCATAATTTGTGCTCTTAGCTCTATATTGATCTCTCTGGAACTCCTGCAGTGCACTGGTTTTTTCCCTTTGCTAGGTGAAGACATTGTCAAGTTCTCTTCCGGACTTTGCTCTTTACTACCTGATTCCTCATGATTCTCCAAAAACCCATCAACATTCAAATTATTCCCTAAATGTTCGTGGCCTATATCCCCTGTATGACATGCTGGTCGATCCAATGAATTAAATGGTGAAGAGGACAGTGAAAACTCTGAATCCACAGCATTTGGGAAAACATCCGATGAAAGGGCATTTGTACTGTGATTCTCAATGACATCATTAACTCCAACTTCATTATTTGTTTCTGATGCTGAAAAAAACAAAAATTACACTTGCCAGTTCAAATTCCTTATTTCATACAAGTCAATGAGTCAGATCAGCATTAGACTCTTAAAACTACGCTCCAGCTCATACAGACTACAGTACATGCCAGGCATAAGAAAAGTTGCTTGTGGATTATAACATGGAGCCTGTCACTATCTCCTGGCAATTAATGACTTTCAACAAAAAAAAAAAAATCACAGGTACATTCTTTGTATGAAAAAGTAAACTACTGTATGGACTGCCAACAAAAGAAAAACTACCTGGAAGGAGTGATTTTATGACATGTTTTTCCCCCTTTAAATCAAACAAACAAATTTTAGTTTCACTTTATTACTAACCAGTGAAAGCCCCTCAGCTTCACACACAGGGAAGTGATTTCACTGCATCTGAGCAAAATTCAAATTAACTTGATGCTGTGATACTTCTAGAGTATCTAAATTTCCAGGCAAAAAAAGAAAACTCTTCTCATTGGCTACACTGTCTCCTCAGGAGAGAGGAAACACATTGTTTATATTTAGAATGCATATGGAAAACTTCCATCCAAAGGACTATATGAACTCTGTAATTAACCCCAGACACACACTTAAATACTTTATTTTCAGGGGGGAGGGGTAAAATTGCCATATTTCACAGATTATCCAGCAGCATTTTACACGAAGAATTTTTTTCAAATAAATTAAAAAACAAACTTTAAAGATTTTGAAGATTCACTTACTTTTGTGAATAGCAATGGGTTTAATAAGGTCAGGCTGTGCTTGTGCAATTGGTGTTGGAGGCCCTTTCCCTCCAATGTGGTTATTGACAACTGGAAGAGTTTGTGGTCGCCCTCTGAGCAGGGGGGACATACAACGTCGCCTTTTTGGAATCCCTTGCATATTTGGTTCTCCAGGTCTTTTGTGTTTATTTTGAGGTCCTGATACGAATTCATCTGCTTCATCTATCATCATTCCCTGAAATTAATTTAACAGGAAGAATTCTTAAGCTTCACACCAAAACCATGTAACATAAGGTACAATCAATGCTCTGAAATTATGAGAATGCTTAGCATGTGTAAGAGTTACATACAACATGCCATTACGTTTGGAATTCCAAACTGTCAGCCAAGACCAGATAAATATGCTTAAGGCCCTTATCCAATATCTGCCAAGTAAGGAAAGGGAGTGGGCCATCAAACTGCCTTTTCAGTAATTGCAAAAACTCTCACATAACTAATACAAGAGCTCTAAATGTTACTGGCAGTTTGGTCAATTCTAAGAGATCTGGATAAAAGGGACAGCCAAGACTCTCAATTTTGAGACACTATTTCAGTTACAATTTAGAGACATAATATTGGTTTTCCAATAAAGGCTGCCTTCCATAAGATACTGCTGATTGAAGACCTGTTTTTGAAGAACAGTTTTGAGGCAGTTTGTAGTCATTTCTTTTACAAGTATTTGAAAGGGTTTCTCCAATAGACTACTCAAAGAACAACATAGGCAGTAGCGCACACACAACAGCATGTTTTTAAAAAAGCTTTACAGAAAAGTCACCTTTTTGTCCAATTTGAATGGATTGCCAAATGTATGAAGCCTTCGTGGTTGATCAGGATCAAGTTCTCGGAGTGGAGAAGGTATCTGTTTTAGATACTCCTGGTAGTTCCCCATTTGTGCTATAGGTACGCTGTGAACTTGATCTATCACAACAGAGGAGTTAATTAATACACAGTACTGCTCACATTATGCAAATTTAATCTATATCCATTTCATATCTCTAATGTTCAGACTTATCATATGCATTAACTAAACAGCTGTACAAAGCTCACCATTTTTCTTGCCTAACTGGTATTTATAACACTTCAGGAGACTTGCTCAAAGGAATCAGTACAGGTCTTGGGGATTTATCATTTTGATAACAAAAAAGCCATAGGTGTGATGCACAGATGTTAGTTTTCCAATGTGTCCCAACTTTACAACAGAGTAATGGATGGAAAAACAGACTAGGAACAAATTAGAACTAAAACATTACTACAAACAAAAGATACATTAAAGCAAAATAGGAATGCCATGCTGCACACAGCTTTGACATAACTTTTTCCAATTTTAGCAACCCAAAACTTAATTGTCAAGACCAGCATTTTCCCAGAGCAAGGGTGACTTTTGATCACTGTAAATCAACAAACTCTTAAAAAAACATAGGAGCTGATTTTAAACTTGTTCTAGTTTTAGAGTTGCCAAGCCTTTGATCTGGAAAAAAATACACTAGAAAAAACCACAGAAAAAATTCCTAACATGAGTTAATCCTCCTCCCTGAAGAACAACTACTCTGACAAAGTGATAATGTCATGTGAAATGTACAGATGTTAATCTGACTTAAGTAGTGGCAGCACCAATGCAGCACAAGCTTTCACTTGCATTGCCCTTCTCACTCTACTTATTTCAACATATTGGGTTAAATGCCACAAAGCAGTGCCAGAAGACACAGGAAAAATGGTAAAGGAATAAATTAGCAACTACTGAACTATTTGCTGTTAGCTCAACAGGCAAAAAAATCACAGGGGCAGCACCCAGTGAGCTAGCTTACTCTTCCGCTGCTCATAAGCCACTTCAACTGAGACATATCATCATGTTCAGAACTGCCCTGTGACTTTATCAGATACATCCATGAAAGTTAGGAAAAACAGTGAACAAAGAACCTTCTGTAAAAGCCCAAGTCCTTTCATATGGTCTTAAGGAAAAAGCAATGAATCAGCATCTTCTGTCCTCACCATTTTTTCTTCCAATAAGGTAAGGAAAAGGCATATTAAAAAAACCCATGCAATTTAATGCCAAGAGCAGACATCCACCAAGTTTTAAAGAACTAACATTATTTGTTACATTGTTTTTAGCAATGATCATATCACAGACAGACAAAATATAATCTGTTATCTAACCTTCATCTTGTCCTTTGAGGAACTTGCAAGTACTCTTCAATAAATTAGATCTCATTCGTGTTAACTGATCCAAAAGATTTCTTCTGGGTATGTCATAAGCATTTCTAAATGTCTGAGGTTTCAAATCCTGTGGTTCCAGTAAATGAAATTCCAATTAATGCCACATAAGAAACAATATCTAGCGTTTCAATGGAAGTATATTGAAAATAACAACATTACACACAGTGGTGCTTACCTTATTCAGCAAAGCTATTTGGAACCCAGCATACTCCTTCATATTGAGGTCTAGAGGTCTATGAGGAATTTCCCCAGTAATCCCCTGTAGCAGATGTTGAAAATCGTTCCTATGTGCCATAGACAGGTTGTGTGATCTGCTTCTGACCTTAATTCCAGTCTCTTGCGCTACCTTTTTGCCTACAGAGCCAATGACTCTATCGGACTCTATTTTGGCCTTAATTTGAAATAAATAAATAAATAAAATTGACAATATGCTCTTAAAAGGATTAGTCAGACTTATTCATTTTAAATTCCTACCTACAAGATTCAACAATGTGCTAACACACTATGACGACCATAACAGGCTGAGCGCTTAAGGAGTGCTTAATACATAACCACTTAATGCCTACTACAGTTTTAAATATAGTGAACAGTTTTCTGCATATTTCTCCTCTGCTGCCCATTACAGTATCTAAGCACCAATATGCATGCAATGCTTTTATTTTCATAAAATGCCATCATTTGACTAGTAATTCTCTGCAGATCTATCTGTACTTGTATAATGTTCAGCTGCTCCTGTAGAGAGCTGTCAAAACTCTCACAAGACTGATTTTCGCACAACTGTAGTTGCAATCAGTCACCCAATTGTATCAACTTTTTTAAAGCTCAATACAAATAGTCAAAACATTAAAAAATGTGAAGTATATGAAAATAACCAACTGGTTGACCAGATAGACCTAGCCCCCAATATTATGTTCGATTTGTACTAAAATTTGTACCAAAAGTAAATGTGTTCATAAATGCCAGCTTTTTGACAGAATACAGTTAAAAGAGCCAAAAGGAATTTAATAACACAACTGCCAATTGTGGTTTTACAATGTCACATAAATTTAAAGACCACTCAAAAATTTGAGTATGTATTGAGAATACTGAGTCTTTACTGGCAGGGCCCATGAGAAGTTACAAAAGCTTTAAGTACAATTTGCAGTGCATGTCATTATATCTTAGAGGAGTCCAAGATGTCTAGGTTGAGATATCAGTTTAGATTAGTGAGCAATATGACTATGATTTAACAGGATATGCTCTAGACTTTAAGACACTTGCTTCCTCAAATTCATTTTAATTTATGTTTTAAGAAAAAGCTGGTCCATAAAAACCCATTACCTAAGTTACAAGTACTTGACACTACTGTTTCTTGAAGTTTCAAGTTTACTCTTTTTTAAACACAAAGCTTAACATGCACAGTTCAAAAGTGGAGGTAGCAGGGCAGAAATGCTTTAGATGGTACAGGAGCCTAGTCAAAGATTTGGGCACTATTCTGAACACGGTCAGCAATTTCAAACAGTCACTTGACATTTCTACATCTGTATCATCATTTGATATTCTGTTATGTCAGTTATCTTATTTACTAAACACTTTCTACTTCACACCACAAGCCAAAGAAAAAACACTTTTTTTCTGATGCATCAAGCATAAAGCCCTATTTCCTGAAAATAAAAACACTAAAACATCTTTAAAGACAGCATTGGTTTGTTTGGATAAAAGTATGTTACTCTCTGCTAAGTGAAAATGCTCCTTAAATAGGAAAAAATCTCAACTTGTACTTCCATATCTGTCTCTATATAGTTCAGTTTATAAAGTCTGTATTTAAATGTTGTATTTTCCTTCAAAACACCAAAATTATTTTTTGGTAATTGCTTATGGGAAAGTATTAACTTGATCTTTCTGCTCTTTTTTCCTACAAAGCCACTGAACTTGAGTATTTTAAGATTATCTTGCTATTAGAATAAGTTTTTACTGCTCTTTTGCTTCAACATTACCTGCTGACTCAACTTTTTGAGATATGAAATGACACTGTAACTAAGTCCATATTCCACATTGTCAGCTATAAGGTTTGGTGCTCCCATCATTCTCACAGCTTTCTTCAAAGGCTGAAACATGGAATATATTGCAAGGTCATATTCAACTTTATACATACTTCAACTAACTGTAGCCATTTCAAATAGAACCTGAGGTTCTGAAAGTTCAAAAAGAACAACAACAACAAAAAAAAGACACTCAGGGCATATTTTTTGTTGTTTTAAAATAGTTCAATTTATACAGAATCAGTTAACAAAAATGTAATTTATATGCAAGTCCCAATGTATTATGAAATTAAGAAAGTTCCATAGCATTCCAACTATTCTCTCCTTAATTAATGCTTATTCTACTTCAAATAGAGACTACATCCATAGTGGAAAGACAACTATAAACTAAAGAAATTTTAAAACAGTCATCTTACCCCAAGATAATAAGGAGGCATTGTCTTCAAATAGCTTTCAAATGACTGACGCCATTTCAACGTAGGCTTTGCCTTGTGTACTTTAAACAAGTCATCTAATAGTTATAAAAAAAGCAAAGCAACAAAATGAAAGGCATGGCTAAATACCATTGCATCTTTTTTTTCTAAAAAATAAAATTCTAGTTAAAGAAACTCTTGAAGAAATGCAAATTCCTCAATTATTAAATTACTATCTACAAATCAATATATATACAAACTAAGCCAAACACACACAAGATTAATGCTGCAGCCAAAAATAGAACCTGATAAATTATCAAATTGAATTGGTATTGAGACAACAGATTAAGAAAAACGGCTCTTAAAACAATGAAAGTGAGATCAAAACATATCTGCAAATGATGATTGAGGAAATCATCTTACACACCAAGTCTGAGTCATGAAGGCCAGACAATTGGAAAGAAGTGAAACAAACTACTGATTCTACCTTTCTCCAGGTGTTATTAATACTGGCATTAATTACAGTAATCTGCTTAGATGATATGTTTCAATTACCTACCACATAAGCAAATTTGTATGGAGTGGTATTTACCTAGCAGTGGAAGCAGGACTGGGTAATTGTAAGGCATCACAAATAAATTCACACAATTCAGCGCTGTACTAGCTTTCAAGTAACCAAAAGGATGACCAAGTTCACTGTATTTTGCACTATTGCTCACATACACCTGCAATAAAACACATTACATTGGATTTACACTTCAAGTACTGTGTTCTGAAAGTTTACCTCTATTTTGATTGTAAAATAAGATACATGTAAAACAGCATTCCATAAACTTCAATTCAGCATGCATTCTACTTGCCTGCCAGCAGGTCTGAGGGGATTTTCTTTCCAGGATAAACTGGGTCAGTGGTGAAGGTTCTAATTCATATTTATCAAAAGGCAGTTTGTCAATGACCATCGGTTCACAGTCAGTACAGGAAAATTTCACCACAGGATGAGATGTGCGAGGTGGCTAAACAAAGTATTCCAGTGTTAGTAAGGCTGCACAACAATTAAAATGCATTTGTACTATGACAACTGAAGCAATACAGATCCTTTGAAAACACATGTATTTAAGGAAGCAACTTAGCGCAGAGGATTCATTTACTGTTAATGAGTCCTAAGCAATTTATGATGTTAGCACTGTCTTACTCTGAAGGAATCCTGTTTTCTAAATAAATGACAATTACTTCACATAGTAAGTCTAGAGCAATATGCAACTAAGACTTCTTGCGTTTACCCAAAAGCTGAACAGATGGGAGTAAGTCCTAGTGGGGACAAAAAACATCCTCAATGTTACTCTGGGACATGTCCACTTTCATTCCCTAGAGAAGCAGGTGCTGTATTTCTGCATTTGCTGATTTTGCCAGAAGCTTTTCCTTCTTGGCAAATTTACCAGGCACAAAATTCGAACAATTATAAAGACCAAGAGTAGTGTGTATTCAGAAAAAAACCCAAACTTTAAAAACTCACATTTTAACTAGACCTGAGGAAAACAAGTTATTTAAATTCCAGGAATTTCAGTGTTTGGATTTTTAAAATCTTTTTACTAATCACAGGAAAAAGGCCTTTGTGTCTCAAGTTAGAAGTTAACAACTTGGAATTTCTTCTGCTAAAAGGGAGAGCTGATTTTCAGTGTGATGAAAATTGGAGCTCTACACCTTCCATTGAAGGGAGAAATATAAGCTCTTACACTTACTCTGAGCCTTTCCCCAAGGCCACTAGAATCTGAGTAAGAGCCCAATTGGGAAGCCTCCTTCCATTTACTTTATTTACAAAAAGGTAACTCACAAATACACAAGATGCAGTAGAGAAACAAAAGGTCTCTTGGACCATCTTACCACTTCACACTGAAAGCAATTCTTTTACTTCTAAACTCTAGGCTCTTCATTTTAGGATAACCCACCCAAACAAGTCATCAGCCAAGAGAGCTGGTCTTGCTTTGAGTATCTCCACCCCAAGGAAGGTGGGCTCTCCAACCAGACACCAAACAGGAGGCCCAACCAAATGGATAAAGAATAACTCTTTTCAAATAGTATGACTAGTAAATAGTTGTGGTGGTGTTTTTGACCAAGCCTTCAAAGTTAGACTAGAAACAAAAAGGCTACAAAAGAAATTGACTACTCAGACTTGAGAAGCCCAATAATCCTTTGCTGCATAGCAGAACTATTTTTACCTCTGAGCAGCTGAAGCAGCCATTTACATGTTGATCTGCCAGCATAATTATTAGCATATTTTCATATACATTTAAGAAAGCCTTGGTGGCATCATTAGCCACAGTAGACTTAAGTTCTTGTTACAATTAGTGTTTGACACCACTCCACTGTGGATCAGGTAACAGGCAGGCAAAGTTAAGTATTTAACTATGAACTCTTAAGCAGACAAGATATGCTACCTACATACACACTGATTACAACATATGCTGTGTTTGAACACTACTGTTAGAACAGTACTGAAATACAGGTCTTGAAACACTATCAGCAACTTAGCTCACCAACATTGCATGAGGAAGGTACAACTCAATTTCAATTGATGTCAGCAAGAATTCAGCTGCACATGACAGTGCTTTAGAGTTATGAGAGCTATACACACTACAACAGAAAAAAAATCTCATCTTTTTGCAATTTGAATAAGTAAACTTCAGGCTTTTCAAAGATTTCATTCAATAACTTTTCACTTGGCAGGATCTATTTTATCAATCTTAAGATCTTGAGTAGCAAACTGTACAGACTCTACACGGCAAATGGAGGCAGATACGCTACTGGCAGTGATTACAAGGAATACACAGGACCAGCTTTCCTGCAGAACAGCCTTCAAATATCCACTACATAATGACCTCTTGTTTTTTTAATGATTACAGAAAATCCACTTTTATTCATATATGCTTTCAGTTCAGAAGAACATCAACATCCTTCAACCAATATGGCCACAGATGCCAAATGTCAAGATCTGCAAATATGACTAAAATTTCATACTCAATCACTCCTCAACAAAACAACCTCTATTTCAAACAACTTCATCTGTTTTCTAACCAAGAGATAAAATTTACGAGAAGTTCAGTGAGTATTAGTAAGCACATCCATTTCACAGCAAAAAAGCCCAGAAGAATTCAGCAAAAATCATCATGAAATGTAGGTAACCATTACACAACTGCAGGATTTCTACTTTAATAATTTCAAATATAAACAGAAACACAAAAATGCATTATACTATACTAATTACTAGTTCTCAGATGAAAAGACAGTGGCATACATTCTTTCATGAAAAAGAACAAAATAATTCTTAATAAATTTAAAAGCTAAGGTTTTATCAGTTTGGATAAATTGAAGTTGTGGCTACACAGCAGATGAAATTATATTCACTTAACTAGAATGAAAGCAGAACTACCACAGGGATTCAAGTTGTCAAGATTATATTTATTTTATTAATAACCTCTATGAGGCAATAGAATTTAATAGGCTTTTACCAAATGCCACCATTTGATATTCAACAAGGTTCAAACAAACACATTCATGTTCTGGGTCAAAAATCTGTCACAGGCAGTTTCCTAATGCTTCAAAGTTGTTAAAAAGAAAACCCCATGTTATTTGCTCATCTGTAGTTTATAGGCTTGCATGCATCACTCCCTGGGTCCCACTGCTTCCACATTTGCTACAATGCAATACATACATCAAGATTTGAAAACAAAAAATCTCAGAATAGGAAATACTGGAGTATTCCTGCATGCACAAACCCTTTGCTTTATCTTCAGTACATACCAGTGTTGGAGAATTTTGATCTGGCCAAAAGGATTCAGGAACAGGCCAATGTCCTATAGGAACCCCAGTTTTAGGGTTTGGTCTGACATAGATAAGTTTGTGACAGCTGTGCCAAGGTTGGGGTCCAAAGGGTCTGGATATCTCCACCTGCCCATCTACAGAAGAAAAAGGCTTGGAGTCAAAATAGTGTTAAAACTCAGGAACAATATTAAGTAACTTCTGTGAAGAGTCAAAGACTTACAATCCCATAGAAGCCCTCCCTGTAGTTACTATTATTTCTAAGAATAGCAGATAGTTGTCAGTAAGCATGTCTACAAAGACACAAACTGAGAAATCAAATAAGCATTGAATGTTTACAGGATGAGAGCCCAGGAAGGCAATTATCTAGAGCCCTTCATTATGTTTCTTTTTCCTCCATTGTCATTAACAGATAACCTTCAAATTCAAGCATTTAAGAAGTGATATACATGACTAATACAGCCATAATTTTTATTGCAGCAAAGTAAAATTTAAAAACATCTCACAAGCTTCTCAGTAACGTCCAAAGACAGCTAAGTCTCATTTCTCATTTAGAATGATAAATTAATGCCACACAGCTGCATTTGCTGTTTCAACTCTTAACACAGCCACTTTAATACACTGAAGAAAAAAGGATAAGCCCAGGTCTTTCTATATCATGTTATTTACATTTCCACCTGGTTAAAAACTGCTTAAAACCCATAAATCCCATTAACAAATGCATTTAAGACTACCTGAGTGGTTTGACCAAATGCAGAATGTCTGGCAGCTACAGCCAGTATTTTGAGACACTGCAAAGTTTTAGACTTAACAGGTAGGTTCTTTTTGTAGTTAAGTCTTTCAAATTGCAATAGCTTCCCTCTTGACTTGACAACTACTATATTAAGTTCACTAAGTTACACTGATGACAGTCATCTCTTATTTGATACCACAGTGTAAAGAATTTCAAGTACCATCAATTGGTGAGGGATCTGGTCCTGCTTTTTCAAAATTTATTACCACTCCACTTTGCACTTTTTGCACCAATGACTCAAGACATTGATTCAGCATTCTTGGAGAGCACACACAATATGATCGACCTAGAACAAAACAGACAGAGTTAAAGCTCTTCAGTGTTTCTGCCCTTATTTTAACTTGCATCATTGAAAACTGTTCAACCACCACACACATAGATTTATGTATGGATCACTGATTTAAAGCTTCTCCTGAACACTCCCTCTTTGTTTAAGCAGCAAGGCAGCCTAGTGAAGCACTGACAAGTGTCTCATTGGAAATGTTTGTATTTTAGACCCTTAATGACTAATTCAAATTCTTGCTGGCATTCATGGAAAATGGGCTCCCCCTTGTGACAGACATCAACACTTGAACTGTCCACAAATTTCAGTCAAAGCACTTGCCAGTACAACCTACATACAATCAAAGCAGTGGAATCAAATCCTTTTGGAATACTTTTCAAAGCCCTTTGTTTCCTCTTTATTACATCCCCTCTAATGCATTAGAAGAATCATCATACTTTTAAAATGTAATAAACTCAATACCTGAGTTTGATCTGGAATATAATTGCTCAGATATCAGCAATATGATCTGTAACTGAGAAAAGCATCCATTTTGTAGAATTATTATGCATTCTAAAAGGCATTCTGTGTGCTCTGGAGGGAAAAAACCTGAAACACCCCACTTCCTTCACTTTGGCTTTTTTAGACAATAGTGTGACAGGAATTAACAAAAACTGTACTGCAGAACAGACTCAATTATTACAATTTGTAATTGCAATACCAAGGTGTAGTAGGGAAAAATTAACTTTTCTTACAAATCATTTCTGAAGAAAGTAGATTCACTCTTCCAAGACAGGCTACATTTAATCGTCTGTAGCTTTAATGCTTAAGTGTCTTTAGTTTCATTATAACAGTCTTGAGAGTTTTTACAAGAGTGTAAGAACTTAGAAATCCTTATTCCATGACATGGAATCACACAATTAATTTAACTAAACTGAATTAATTTACACTTTGGAGAGCAATGACTTGTCAAGGGGAACAAGGGCACTCACCTCCTGTGACTTCACACATAGGTGTGATAGCAGAGTCATCCACAGGCACCCCTGTCATCTGTTCTGATTCTGGTGCTGTAATACCAGGCAAACGAAGAACCAAAGCAAATAATCTCTGATCCCATCGAAAGGGTTCCTTAGTCAACTCACTTCCAGGTAAAGGAGAATTGAGAGGTAAATGGAGCTGGAAAGGGATTTAAATCTGTGAATACACAGCTCTTAAAAGAAACAAAAAATCAGGTTTCATAGCAATGGCAACGTACTCTATAAAAACACACTTCTCTCTCCACACACACTTAATACCTCATTAACAAAACTGAGACAAGCTTCTAAAGGACAGCACAAGGTCCTAGATGCTCTTTTTGCATCCGGATACTTCACACAGATTAGTGAGAAAAAGAAAGCTTATCCAAACATTTAACTGCAGAAGGCCCGAACAGACAGATTTGCAACAAGTAATTCCAAGTTCCAGAAATTTTGATACATCCCTGGCTGATGATAACAATGTTAGCACAAGCAAAATTCTCATTTCACCTGGAGCACTACAGCAACAAAAGGGGAAAAAACATCCCCAAAGCAATGACTCAGGTGGTGCAAGCAGTTCCATTAGCACACCAAACACAAGGGAGTTAAAGTCCACGTGCTGAAGCAAACTCAACATGTCCTCATTTACTCTCATGCAGCGTTCAAAAAAATCCCAGTTCTCAACGCTCAGCTCAATGCTAGCAAGAAAGTACTGGTCTGTTTCAAAACTTGATGCAAATCCACACAAGCACTCATTATATACTGCCTTCATTTCTAGTTCATAGTGGTTAGAGAAATTACAAAAAGGTGTTAAAAAGGTTTTTTTGCTTGCTTATTTTTAAGGGATAGCTTGAAAGCATTAAAGCCTGATTTCCAAAACCAGATCCTGCAGCTATTTCTATTTACATAATTGCAGCATCTCATACTGGGAAAAACACATACCTGGTTGTTTGAAAAGTAATCAATCTATTGTACAATCTTGCAATTAAGAACAAACATGACAAAACTACTCAAAATATGGCCAAGAATTAGAGTATTTTGGACTTTTCAGCGCACCTGATGATTCCCCCAGAATTTCTCTTTTTGGTTATGCAAGCACAGAGCACATGTAAGAACAGAACTATTTTCTCCAAATGCTTCATGTTTTACACGAAACTGGTCAAAGGGAAGGAACTCAGTGATTTATAACTAACTGCTTGACATGCATGTCTTTCCCCTCTATACAAAGAGCCATAACGACTGCCTGACAATGGTAACTCAGTTAAAAGAAGTGCCACATTCTTAGTTAACCGCCTGGAATCCCAACTGTAAGAAGACTGATTTGCAAGGACTCCACCATCCTGGCTTGCGGGTATTAAGGAATTCCATTCAAGCTTTCCTACTTAGATCTGACCGAAGATATACTATTTCCAAAGAGTACATTTGATCAGCAAACAAACCTGTTACATCTATGTAACAGCACTGTTTTCCTTCGGGCAGCATATATACATATTTTTTACTATGAATATTTATACATATAAGTATTCCATTAGAGCCTGTACCAACAGTATCCTGAGTTCAGTTTACCTCAAGCTACAAAATATTTCATTGGCTCAGCTAGTTGTATGTAGAGAACTCTAAAACCAAAGAGTAGTCAGAAGCTGGCCATTGCATGATGCACAGATCACTATCAGGAAAGTTTGCAAATTAAGACAAAATGCAAAGCAATCACCGCCAAGTCAAATGTCCTCACCTTCCTTCCAACAATCTAATTCCAATTAAGTTTTAACATCCTTTACCATTTATACTGGCAAAGTTATAGATTCAAATCACCACATCCACAGACATTAGTAACTTGGTCTTGTCATCTCCAGTTACCTTTTTTTTAACTGGTATTGTATTACCATAGCAACTGCATACCTAGCAGAAACTAAGACTAGAATTCTACATCCTGCATTTCATTTCTTTCCCCACGCATATTTTAATATGAAGGCATGCACACATTTTCCTCTTTCTCAACAACCAATATGAAACAAAGGTAGATTGAACTAAGGGAAGGTTATTTACCAACTGTGGTCTTCAACATCTGACTGTATATAGACAACAAGTGTCCTCCCAGCTTAGTACTAGAAATCAGCTGTCTTGTCTCATCATTCATTTGTAGGGGCACACAGAAGCCCTACCATTCCCAAATACCACCATGATAATGTAACTACACAATCAGTGTGTGCCTTATGCTACTCTTCCTGCCTTTAAAACAACTAAAATATTCCAGAACTACAAGGGGGTGGAAGATAAGAGTGTTCTAGAAGACCTCTTCAGTACAAGGTTATTGGTGAGCAGGTTCATTTATTCTCAGTCCTTGTTTCTACCTACATTTATGCAATCATGAGAAGCAGCACAGTCTAAAATCCTGGGCGGGAGAAAAAAAAAAAGAGGATCCTAGAGACCCTAGGATGAAAAAAGCTAGACAAGCATTAGAACACTACACTGGCAGGGCAGTCTGACAATGATCTTCTGGCAATGGCTGCAATAGAGGATCACCCACTACAACGGGCACCAATAGCACTGCTGAAGCTTTAGTACCCATGTAGTAACAGGAAGCTCCATCTTGATATCTCATAAAAGGGCATTAGAAGACTAGGCACTAAAAAATATGCCAACAGTCAACTTCTCTTCCTGTACCAAACAAAAAAAAAAATCTATTGGCAAGTAACCTTCCTTGCATGCCCTTCTGGTACCCAAAAAAAGGACAAGTCATCTCACATTCCAAGCAAATGCAGCCTTTCATCCTTGAAGGACTAAGGACAGATAACCATTCAAGCCCAGCTGAGAACATCAGCTCTTGACAGACTGAGAAACTCTACTTACAGTTATCAACATCATGTTTTCCCATCTTTTTCCATCCAATCCTATGCAGTTATATAACTCATAGGAAGACAAATTGTTCTTCCATAGGAGATAACTCAAGGAGATCCCAAAGACATCAAGGTCAACTGACACACCATGTCAATACATGATATACTTGGCCATTCCACAGCCAGCATTAGCCACCACCCAGCACTCCCTGAGCTGACAGTTACACATTAAGAATTTACACATCAAGAGCTTTGGAGTGTCAAGTGTCAAGTGCTGTGAACCCAAAAACTTCTGCTAACAGGAATAATAAAGAAAAGAAAGAATACATTTAATGATATTTGCCATATATTTCTTGCAGAATTTGTTTAGAAATCAGAAGTTTTAACTGGAGAAACTATGATAAAAAACATAATAGAGCATTTAAAGTTCCTGATTATTCTCGACAGTAAGCAGAACCTTGCTGTGACACTTGTCACAGCTGTTACAAGTGCAATGCAAGGTGATTAGCTCTGGGAAGGATCAAAGTGACAATGCCAAACAGCTGTGGGATGAAGTAGCACGAAAACCACAGATTCTTCCTCTAATAGCCTCTCATAACTGGAAGATCAGAGGAATAGCAACATACAGAAACCAAGCAGCATTGCTCATGCTTTTTGCTTTTATAATAATTTATCAGAATGTATCAATATGCTAAGAACTCTATTTCAGTCTTAGAGACAAGTTTAATGCTACTTAGAGGGTATGTTGAGGGAGGACAAGGGAACATCGCTCAGCTGTTGTAAAACTCAAAAAGTATGTTATTTCATAATGTGAAGAGGGGTAAGAAATCTCTTCAAGCATTTATGCATTTGCTTAATGAAATATGAAGAAAGGGCTAAGACTGAATTTGAGGGATCAGGCCAGAAGCAAAGGCCATTCCATAAGGAATCCATAACATCAGACCAACTAATTAATGATGGTTGGCCAACAGTATGAGCCCATCCCCTCCTTAAGTTCTGACTCAAACTAGTGAATCCAGGGAAGAGTCTGGTCAACAAGCCATACAGAACATAGAATTGATGCTGGCACTTTTCAGCGCACTGGCACTGATGCATTAAAAAGCAGTGCCAGAAGGAACAGAACTGAAGTGTTACTGACTTGTGCAGGTGGAGAAAACTGCATAGACAATATAATTTCTGTTTTCAGTCAGAATAACCACACCCATGAGAGACAAAGCAGTACTCACTAAAGGGCAAAGCTCTATCTGCAACATCCATTTTAAAATCCACAAAGGAACAGGACATCTGAAGAATTCAGCAAGAGCTCTGAAACAGGGTTTAAGCTTGACTGCTTCACACTAAGGCAAATGACAGTGTTCCCATAGTGATAAACTGATTTCATTGGTAAGAATGCAAATCTTCATCTGAATGACAAAGCTTTGAGAAAACTTGCCTCCAGGTTCCATGCTGGCTTCACAGGCTTTCCAAAAAAAACTGCAACAAAACACCAAAGCCCAACATTGTTGGTTCCCTTGTACATATGCCTTAAAAGAACTAAAAATACACTGCCTCAGTCGATGCTAGGAAGTAAAACCACTGTTGTCATAGCCAGTGGGATATGATCACTTCCAACACCAACTCTGAAAAGCCTCCCCAAAGTCAAACCCAAAGAACAGAACAGACATTTGAAAGTGGCTGAAAAAGCTTTGTTAGTGAACCAAAGAGGAGCAATGAACTTCCACATCTCCAGGGTGGTGTTCTTGTACTAATTCTAGTTCATTTCTGCATGTCCATCTTGAGAGGTAACTGTCAAGGACACTCAGGGTAGACTAAGAAAAATTCTGATCAATAGGACACACACTGACAACAGCAAAAGATCACCCCTGAAAGACAGTAGCACCCTTCAATGCTTTGTTACTCTTCTCTTTGATAGTGTTAAGAATGTTTCTACCAGTAAACCTAAGGCCAAAAAAGGAGAAAAAAAATCACATCCTTTACTGGGTATGAAACATACACCCAGTACACACATATGGAAAACCATACAAACTTGTTTGCATTCAAATTTTGTCTTGCAGGAAAAACAGTGGTCACTTTGCCTTCTGGAGGAATGGCACACCTCTACATTGGCTTATTTATAACAAAAAACCCCACATTAATTCACTATTATTAGAGCAAATTCTGCATTTCTAGAATGCAATTTAGCAATCACAAAATTGTAACATTGGGCCTGATTTGACACGATCACAACACAAACTCTGGTTGCAGCACACACTTATTGCACACACTAAAAAATCAGCACTGCTCATGGGCCAAGTCTGAATTTAGTAGATTTATGCAGCCACCTTTGTCTCAACTTAAGTTACAGCAGTTTAAAGATGTGAATGTATGACCAAATGGCTGCCTGACTCCAGTAAAATGTCTTCTTGTGAAACCTAAGATGAAGAAGTTGTACTCACAACTTATTGTACTTAAAAGGAAAAGGAACAAAAAAAAGACTGGCTGGCTATAAAAGTCCTGATTCTTGTTGTAAAAGAAAGAGCTTAACTAAGGCAGCTTTCTTACCTAAATCATTCTGAGTAGCAATGATGAAAGGAGATGTAACAGAATCACAGCACTGCGTACACCAGGAGGAGCACGTGACAGTTACACAGTCCAGAGGCTTTTGACTGCTCAGGGCCTTGTCCAATGCAGCTTTTACCATCTCCACAACTGCTGGACATGTCCAGTATTTGATCACCAACACAGTTAATGATTTTCTTGATACCTCATCAGAATTTCCCATGGGACAACTTGCAGCTGTTGCCTCCTATCTCAGTCCTGGGTACCTCCAGGAAAATACAAGCTCCCTGTCCCATTCAACTGTTGCAGAGGGTGGTAAAGCACTCCCCAGTCTTCTCTTCTGAAGACTGAACAAACCCAGTTCTCAGCCTCTACCCAGAAGTTATGAGTTTCACCCTCTGAGCACCTTTGTGTTCCTCACTCCAGTATGTCAGTGTGAGATTTTACAAGTCATCTGACAACAGAGATTCTTCTCAACAAACAATGCACACAGCTGAAAGATTACCCAAAACAGTATTCTGCTGCTAACAGCACTGTATGTTGCAGAGGACTCTAAGAGTGTCAGACTACTCTAGTCAGGATTTTGGACTGCACACATTCTATCACGGAATTCATCTGAAAATAGCTTAATGGGTAAAAAAAAGTACAATGGAAGTTAGATTTCACACAGATAACCTACTTGTTACCATGTATCCAGGTATTCCCTTTCAGTTACTAGCTATGCTTGTTAGGAGTCCACACAGAATTACACAATCATTCAACCCTCTTCAAGTCAGACATGTTACAAAACCACTCAAATACCACTTTTCATACAGACAAATTCTGTAAGTGCTGTAAGAATGCAATATAATAGATTATTAGGAGAAATCTGAGTAACTAATGAACAGCAAAGTACAAGTTAATCTGTACAGTCAAATGTGGTGCAGCACAAGCAAAAGTCTGAATTCCCTGCTTAAGTTTTAAAATGGACCTTTGGATATTAACCTTTTCCCTGAAAAGGAAATGAGCTTAGGGATTTGTTATAGTTTGTTTTGGTTTTTGGCTTGTTTTTATTTTTTCACTACTGCATGGAATGGGCACTGAGCTGGCCAGACCAATCCTACCACTTGCATCTTTTTAAGGAAAGAACTCAAAATGGCCAGTAAGTTAAAATAGCTCAACGCCTCAGCATTTGCTGTACCTCTGAGTTTGCCAGATGTCTGAGTGGGTACTCCATATATCAAGAACTTGATTTTAAACTGCTCTACAGATTTAACTTGGAATATATTTCTTCAGTTCTTACCTTGAATTATAAACACTACTGATTTGATTATAATCTTTTTAAGAACTCAGTGTGAAAGTAGTACATGTTTCACATACTCCCTAGTGACGACATCCTTTGGGAAATCATTACTTTAACGGGTCTATACAAAAATTGGTCTTGTATCAAGACCAATTAAGGACACACATGCTTTATAGAAATCAATTTTTTCTGCTAACATAGTTTAAAAGCCATGAACTCCTTAGACAGAAAGGGCAAACTCATTTTACTAAACAGACCAACAATTGCACCACAGGTTTCTGTTACATGAAGGAAAGAGTTATTTGGTTTTTCATAGTACTATTGCATAAAATTACTTGAAATCAAAATAAATCACTTGAAATTAATCAAGACAAGCAAGTTTAAGCTATTAATGAGCATTCTTCTGAGGAGCCACTTATTCTCCTACTGTAAACAGTATCAATGTTTAAACAATATTTAGTACACATTACTGTAACCATAGGTTAGATCTTACCTCTTCCTGTATCCCACTGGTAGTAGTTAATTTACTTCCATCAGTAACTGTTATAATTATTGCTGGCTCCAGAAAAAAAGGGTTCCGTCCCTAAGAGGAAAGAAAGCAGTTACTTAAAATGATGCAACAAACTCTGTTCAGTCATTAAATAGCCACTGATATCGACTAACAAAACAACAAAGCTTGAGGTATTTATTCTCATGCACTGCATATTGCAGCACAGTGGGTTTCTGAGCCTTTTTACACTCAGACCACGGAATGCTGGACACTTAGCATGTCTGTATTCAATGAGTGCATACAGAAACAGCAAAAATGGTTAACACAAGACTTCAAGAATAAGTCTTGCCAACGTACTCTGACAAACTAGCAGCTGTTTAGGGAAGAAACCATCTCCTCAAAAGATACTTTCAATTCCCCCTATTCTGGGACTGATTTTGCGTGATTTAATTACTTTGTGTCCAACCAAAGTAACTGCATGGTATCTTGTGATCATGACCCTAAGACTGACATAAATAGCACCCGTTCCATTCTGATCAAAGTGGTTCACCATGCATACATAAAATCTACTTCAGAAACAAATACTTGAAAAATAGATAAACTTTCTATATGTATCATTTAGGATAGAAACATATACAAGGCAAGATATTCCAGGATCCCAGCAAGACAGGCAGCTAGCCTAGCTGTGGCAAAAACTTGAGGTCAGTTATTGTTATTCCTTTATCTACTGCCAGTATTCTAGGAGCTTTCTGTGCCTTCTGAAAAAGAATTCCAAAGCATTCCACAGATACATCAACTCCAAGCTTAAGTAACACATTTCACTCTACCTAGGGTTAATAATGGACTGAATAAAAGTCATCACAAGATTTTGTTTAGTAGGTCCTGTTCTTCTCTTGTTGATCTCAAGGCCTTGTTTTTCTTCCTCAGGAAACAAAGAAAAATGTAACTAAATCCACAGCCTAGTTCTGCTTATAAAGACAAACTATCTGATGAATGGCTGCGATTTACTCTAGAAACGTGGAGGGAGAACTAACAGGTTTTAAAAGACTTTTCAAATCCATTTTTAGAACCCATTAAATATAAAAGATCATCTACTGATTTTGTGCTTCAAACAGAACTATTATTTAACAATCTCAAATATATTTGGTGAAGGGTATCTAGTTTTACTACTGTGGCAGCACCACAATCATAATGGTCAATATTTTCCCAAACCTTACCGAAAAAAAATTTAAGATTTCTTTTCTAATAGCATACCATTACTACAAAAAATAAGCAAAAATCAAATCAAAACAAAGATCAATCTCTCCCATGAAAGCCAAGCTACTTTGTAATTTAATTTAAACAATTACTCAAAAGGATTTAAGAACCCTCGAAACACTCCATTTTAATTAAAATAATTTCCTAAGAATATTTAGTCTTATTTAATTCTTAACAGTATGTTTTTCTACCAACTAATAGTTTACCACAACTGCAAAACATCAGCTGGAAGCTAATTACATTGCACTGAAATAACACAGAAAGCAAGGTTTATAAATAGGTATTTCTCACGAATACTGCCCATAAAAATACTTGAACTCTACTACTAATAAGTTATTGTAAAAATGAATTGACAACTAATAAAAACACAGATTTATAATGTTTACAATGTCATAAGCAATGCTAAGTTAATATGCTGGTGCAATTCAAATACAAGTATTAAAATTCCCATCTCTGACAACACCTTTTATCCGGATATCCTCATCATTTGAAAAAGTTTTTTATTCCTTAACTGTACTTTGTCACAGTTTTTTTCCCATCCAAAGTTTAAGCCTTAAACAATTGGTGTTAGAATGTTCATGACATTATAAGGAAGAAAACAAGAGTTGTTACACTTGAGTTCCCTATGAAACACGTCTGAGGGAGAAATGCCTTAATCCTCAGGCTACTCTTTGTAATTTCACAAGCATTTTACATATACAAAGGATAGTCACTCACATACTAATAATCAATTGTTTTCAGAAAGATAATTAAAATGTATCATGGAAGAATTTTGGTAAAAAAGCCTATTACTGAGATTTACTACTTTTGATTTAAAATTTCCATGTCATTACTTTTTAAAGACCACTGACTCTTCTGACCTGCTCCTCACCTTAGTTATATGAAGGCATTCAAAACCAGTATTGAGTCAAGTATTCCTCCAACAAAACCCCCTCTTATTTATGTAAGCTCTCAACAGTCAGACATCATAAAATTGAATTGAAGACTTACCAATTCTTTTAACTAAACTGCAGCACTTCTGTCAACAACTGGTTCAGAACTTTATTTCTATCTAGTTAATCTAATTCTACAGTAATCAAATTACTTTCTATTTGTCTCCCCCTAGAAATACACTTTTTAAAAAAACAGCATTTACAAATCTTTGAAATATCAGTCTTCAAAATATATAGCAACATCACTGACTGTAAATGCATAGGTAATTAATTCAGTCCAGCCCAATTATTTTGGATAAGCAGAGGAACAGGGAGTGACAGTGTACACTACCATCTCTTTGGCAGCTTACAGGTATGCTGCAATGCACTGGGGAAAGCGTCTCAGGATAGCAAGGTATAAATAATAAGCCTGTTTACAACTTACTCTGATAACTAGCTAACCAGCATGAGGTTTTATTTATTTCAGAAGCAAATTCTTTTTAACACACTGCTTTTCCTTCTCAAAGTTTTAGCAGTGGTGAAAAAAGGAAGAAGCACCTACAGTTTTAATGGCTGACCACCCTGTAACAAGGTATGAGGAGGATTTTTACATTCACAATCTACATTTTCAAGGACAGATGCGCACCAAGACAACAAAAAGCCCACAGACCTCTTCTGGAAACAAAATTACTTAAAACTCAGCATCAATACCAGGGAAAGTTTGCTTGACTAAAAAGGAACAAGCAAGAGATTCAAAGCCTTAAAGCTAACTTAATATTACACAACACTTCCATTTGAACAATTTGACAGCTTCATGACTGCTTCAAAACACAAAGCAGCTCAGCTGCATTGGTTGCCTTTCCCTTGGTCTCCAGATGAAGCAGGTCTGTGCTCAGATAACACACAAATACAGAGCACAACTGAGCTCCACACCACTCACAAGGGGTCACAGTAAGAGGCATCCCATGCCACTCCAGCTTGTGTGATGCTCTCAGAGGGAGCCTCACATCAAGCCAGAAGTGTATCAAATTATCAAAACACGTTATTGCAAGGTTAAGGCTCTCACAACTAAGAATTCACTCCCACTGGCAAGTAAGCTTAGCACCAAATTTCAGCGTGACTAATTAATAATACACATATGATTTTTTTTTTCTTTCTTCCAAGTGTAGAGGTAAAGCAGATCAAGACCAATTCTGACCTTTACATATGCAAGTATACAATATTATATATGCAGGAAGAGAAGATAAAGACTACTGTTATCCCAAAGCACATATTTAAATATTAATTTCAGAGTCAGAAATGTTGCAGAACTGAAGAAATGGATGAGGTAGAAATGTGACCAAAACATACCAAATCAAAGACTAAAAATGACACAATAAGCAACTACTACAAAAATAAGTTTTTAGTAGTACAGAAACTTCAAGCCCACGAAAGGTTGGAAGCTGAAAATAGACATGAACTGGAGTGCATATTTTTTAGTAGAACATATCCATAAGAACTGGAAAAAACGCATTTTGAGATCACAAGAAATGTCTAAAAGGTACACTTTCAATTCAGTAAATCACCAAACTCTGAAAGCTGCATTGTACATCTATGTCCCATTATATTATCTCAGCAGAGCCTTTTCATTTTCAGAAGTATCAGCCCTAACTCCGTCAAATTTAGACATGTGGCCAGGAAATACAAAATTGCAGTATCAATTTTTTTATTCACTCTTGGTTTTTTATAATTTAGAAGGTCAAGCATCTCAAATTCTCCTGAGAATCTGTGAGCAACCATTGTTCAAAAGCAATAACTTAAAATGAAATCTAGAAGTCAGAATGACAAAAATTATTAGCTTTAAAGCTATTTTTAAACTGATAAACAGCTTCAAAAAATATCAAAACACTGAGCTTGAATTTCAAACTAAAACAGATGGTCCAAATCCATAACAGTTTTCACTTTTTTTTGTTTCTTAGAAACTTCAGTTACGCTTTAGCAAAATCATGAAATGTCTAAGACATTAACATTTATTGGAAACTTTCCCCTTCATTGCTCAAGGCAGAATACTATCAGTCAAGAACACAGAGGTATTAACAACTGTTCTCATCATCAGTTATATAAGAACTGCAGCATCTTGTGCAACTTCTTACACGTTGCACTCACACTTTCAGCAGCTTTGGCTATTTCCTGTATCCCCACAGAATTAATCACTGTACTTGGCAAGTCCTATAGAACTAAGTGTATTTCATGCTTTTGCACAACTGTTTCCCAAGTCACAAGCACAGGTGAATACACTGGTATCACAGCAGTATTTCAGTCAATTTATAGCTGGCAATTAAACTCTACAAAAATTACTTTGCCTTTATGGATTTTCAAATGTATGTCGACACACACTACAACCAGGCAAATACATGTAATGCACTACAGTACTAAACTTTGATCTATGAGAACACAAGGAAGAATATGTTGTGGGTGGGAGAGTGCAAAAAGGGCAGTCCAATTCTACCACAACATTTGCATTGATAAATCTGACCTCTCACATGATATGCCACCATAACGAGAACCATAATTCTGTGGCCACTGAAAAATATAGCACTGCTAAATTCTGTCACAGTGTTATCTAATTGACTGAACCTGCATGATAAAAATAATTTTGCAATTGTATTTATTTACTGTGTCTGTTTTAGAACTGAAATTGATTCTATGAAGTGGAAGCACCTCAGTGTCAGATAAACTTCTCTGCTTTCAGCCTGAAGGAGTAAGCACTGAAGAACATACAAATTCTGTACAGGCTTAAGATCTGACAAAGATGGACTTCACACACAAAGAAAGTTGCCAACTCATCTATCTTGCTGTCCATAAAGATTTCAATATGTTCCCTTGATACTGTTGATTATTCAATATATAATACAGTTTTGCAGTGGCAGCAGTTGTCTTAGTAGA